TACCACTGTATTTTAACAACCTTCAGTTGGGAGGGGGATAGTATAGTTTATGCCTATTTAATATATATAACAATTCTTATACTTTTATGCTATCCGCTCTGTTACTTGTGTGTAATATATGCCATGTAACCTGCCCATTTACCCGCACACTCAGCAGCTATCCATTTGAAGCTGCAATATACGAAATAGCTCCATTAGTCTCCCTCCCTTCCCCCCGGATCTAGGTTTGTGTCACACATGCTTGTTTATCCTTTGTCTCTGAAGGGGGTGACTTCCGAAGGGCACATGAGTCTTTCTAAATTTGTTTTCTTACGTGGAATTCCAGTGTCCCTGGGAGATTACTAATCTGTTTTTACCTTTCAGCTGCCTAGAATTTTATATTATAAAAATTAATATCACATGTTTTATTGTACTTGGTATGGAACCATTGTTATGCCGTTTTCTGCGTGGGTCTTGTACTACTAATTTTGTTCATCTCCTGTGGAATAATATAATAAAGAATTTTAAATAAATAAATAACACACGTCCATTTTAAGCATTATATACAACTACCAACCCCAATTATTTTCAATTAATGAGCCTCCATTATCCATCAAATGAATGCTGTAACAGCAATTTTACACATAAATCTTCTACAGAAGAGGTAAGAGGGTAAATCTTTATTTAAAAAGTTATTAAAACAAAGCCTGTTGGTTTCATACAATTTAAATATGATTTGATTTTTATATACATAATCTGTACCTAAAATCTGTAACGGTAGATATAGAAATATGCAGTTATGTTTTGCAATCAAAAGTTCACCTTTTTTATTCCAATGCATTTTTATAGATGGGCAGAACACAAAAAAATTAAATAAAAAATAAACCCCAAAAAACAAAAACAAAACAGTTTAATATACAACATTCTGATTACAAGTTTTCTGTACAAGGTATTAAAACATCTGGTATATGTACAACAATCTTATTACGTTATGAAAACTAATATATATATATATATATTTTTTAAAAAGTTTATTGTACATATGTTACAAGGCACTGGGCAGAGTTTTAGAGCCAATGTCCTTAGTCTTTCCAGTGGTGAGCTTCACAGTACATCACACACTGTGGCAATCATACAGTTAACTAAGGGGTAACCAAAATCTAGATCCTTCCCTGGCTGAGAAACTATATCTCCCACAATGCTTTGCCAGTACCAAGACTGGCAAAGCACAAAATGGTGCTGCAATGCTACATCAGCAGAGGATCTAAATTGTGGCCATTCCTGGGTTAAGACAAAGCCAAGTCTTTTCCTGTCTTGTCAGTTCAGTAACTATTTCCCACAAACCCATGTCAATCAAAATTATTTGAAAATTTACATTCTAAGATATGCTTTTTCACAATTCTTAACACTTTGTGTTTCCATTGTTTGATTTATACCTTTAAAGTTAATTCATGCCAAAAAGCTTTTAAAAATGAACAAAAAACAACAAAACAAACATTTCTGAAATTTAAAATGCTACCGACAGAGAAAAATTACACAAGTAATGTTAACTTACTTGTAAAGGATCTTGTCATCCGAACACTTGTACATAAAAGATTCAATTTAACACATTTGGCTGTATTAGATATATCGTACAATCTCATATCGGTATAAGTACCAGATGGTCATACATAGGACAGAAAAGAAGGCTGCCCAAAGCCATAATCAAATTCTGTTGACATCATTTGAGTGAATGTGTGATATTTCCAGAAATGCTCACATGTCACATTTATTACACTTTATGGTCTATACTAATGAGTGGAGAACAGGTAAATCTCCAGCTGTCCTACGATGGCCAGTTAACCAGTGTCAACCTTGAAAAGAACTGCCAACAAGCTCAAAAATAAATGAAAGTATGTGCATATGTGTGTATAAAAACACACACACACACAGCCAGCTTGAGTATTGTCAGTAAACCGAAAAATAGATTGGACTCGAAATTCCATCTTTTTTTGCTGCAGTGACACATTGAGTCCACAGCGACTACAAAGATCAGACTTGAGTGAGCACTAGCAATGTTTGCTTTCTATTCGATTAGGTTTGGTTTTTTCTGTAACACTGAAATAAAGTTGGAAGGCAATAGGTTTCCATGCTGTTGCTAGGCAACATGGAAGTCAAGTAATGGTAAATAATATTTTGGTAGACTTTTCTTAGCGTTGGACACGGTTTTTTAGACGTGATCAGAGATGTTTAATTGCTGAACAGATATGTCTAATTCTAATATATTGGCAAAACAGAGTTTTGAATTGTATTACTGGGTCAAATTACAAGGGCTTCAATGATATATCAAGCTTAAAGGAACACTTAATTTAAACAAAAACAGTAAGATTCTAAGGAACAACACAGACAAATTAAATAATATATGGACTACATATGGTCATTCGAGGATGTCCCTGAAATCAATCCAGAAATAAATATTGTTTTTATTATTTTTTTTTTTTTAAAAAGCAAGCAGAGCACTGGAACAAAATACACAAAATAAACTGTTTGATTTAATCTGCTATAGACAAAGAATTGATATATGTATACCTGCTGATATATGGATCTATATCAGGTCAATAATCTATTTAAGTGTTAAAGTGTGTGCTTTGAAGTTTGCAATTTCATGTACACTTTTTTCTTTTATTTTTCTTAACAGAACAATTTAGTTTTTTTTAAACAAAACCAATATATAAGAATAACTGTGCAGTTGAACCCAGTAATCCCTCTAACTGCACCAATCTTGTTCAACAATTTAACAAATACAAAAATAAAGTGCTCGGTGATTATTTGTTAAAATTATAGTAAAGTCAAATTTGTTGGACAGACATGACATTCAGTAAAGTAGTCTCCACTCTGCAATTTGTTGCTAAGTGAACTGAATGTGCTCGGTCTTGAAAATAGTTGTAATGAAAGGTAATTTTATGGATATGTTTTGGCTTTAATTGCATGGGATGAGAACAGAGCTGTGCACTTTGCGCTAAAAATATTTACTAATAAATATTTTTTTATTTTGCAAAGAGAACGCCAAACATTACTTTGAATGAGCCGTAATTGAAAGATATTTCAGTAACCAGAATGGATTGATCTCTCAAGGGCCATACAGCTCACGACGAGTGGCTGTGCATCTTTAATTGCATTACAGTCTGACCCCAGTTATTCCTGTGTTTGAATTTCTGAAGGTTCACATTTTAGTGAATAACCCTGTCAGAAATATTCAAAGTGAATTTAAAAACTTGAGTCAAAATAGGCAAATATGATTTCAGTTTGTCTACTTTGGTCTAGCATTTTAAAATTGACTTTGAATTCACAAAAATTCACACTTTATGCGGACCACTAAGCATCTTCTGTGGACTTTACGTAGTTTGCAGAGACCCACAACAATGACATCGCTTCTGAGGGTCTGATGGCTGAGGGGGAGGGGGCAAAAGCGTGTTTTACTTACCTAAACCTGTCCCTCATGGGCGCTGCCATCCTCTGGCCAGGAGAAGACGATACTGCTGTACTCTCATGCATGCACAAGAGTAATCATTCAGTTCTGTGGAGGATCACGCGATATTATCCTTAGAAAGAGCTTAATTTCCCTGCAGCAGTCACTGGTGACAGTAATTCTACCCAGTGCCAAGCTTTGTCAGGCGGAGGGAAATACAGAGACAAAGTAGTCCATATCTTGTCTCAGTATATCTTTTGACTAGGCTGGAACGTCAGTGAAATATCAGCACAGTCAATTTGAGTATTTCATAAAAATACCATCTTTATGACATTCATTTTGGAGGGGGAGATGATGATAATGCTACTTTAATAAACTTGAATAAACTGCTAACAGAGCTATCCACAAAACATTAAATTTGAACGAATTGTAAACCAACATGTTAAATTTGGGCTACAATACCTAAGTTGTAAATATAACAGATTTATAGGAGAATGTTTCCAAATTGACTATATTGCCCTATGTTTTGCCATTTAATTTTCAATCTGTTACAATTCACTGTTTAGCGATAGAAATGTGAAAAAGTCAAATTATGAGTTCGACAAAGCCATAAGTCCAGACTTGCTCAGAATTAGAAATGGATCAAAGTGCTTTCTAAACTAAACACCACTCTGTGCACTGCATGAAAAACTTATGGGTACAAATAATGGGTTTTGCACAAAAGAAAGCAGAATCCACATTTGGCCGGAAAAAAACTTCGGAATAAAATTAGATTCACTTCAAGCTATATATGTTTACATAGGGAAAGACAAGACTGGCCAGGTGAAGATAATGTTGGTCTGCACACATCAAAGCTTAAAAAATAAAAAATAAATAAAAAAGAATCATTGTAGATTGCTCTACACATTCTTTTAACAATTAATAGCAGTTTTGAGGCAAAGTAACAGAAGCAGAGCAAGTGTGATGTTCATGCAGATTGCTCTAGCAGTAGATCTTTGTCCCAAAACAGCTCTTAGAAATAATAACCAATCCATTTAATGATGGGAGTTACAATCCAACATCTGCAGCCAGGTCACAGAATACTTAGTCCTATTCTAGAGGAATAGTAAGATGTTTGCATGCATGGTGTGACTGGATAATTACATTTCCTTAAAATGTCAGACCCATACAATGTGCAGCCTTTTGTTTTCAATATTAATAAAAACGAAAGCTACCCAGTTGGTTGAGATGCAAATGCGTAAACAGAAACTTGTTTTAGAATAAATCTCTCTAGCAAGGTTCATTCATACATTGTGTATAGCCCAGCAAGAAACGCTATCATTAAATATAGCAGTGCAGATACTACCAGATGTGGGCCAGGAAAGTTACACATGATGTTGTTAAGATTCTCATTCAGAAGCATATCTACTCTCCGACTATGGAAACAGTTTGCCAAGGACATGTTTGCATTTGTTTTTTTAGTCCTGTAGTTTCCTCGACCATCCTGAAGTCCATTGGTTCTTTTAATGTGCCATAGGGGGTATTTCTTCGGTATTAAACCAGACAAAATGGAAAATGACTGTCAATTCTTCAGCTACTTAGATATAGATAACAGCAAATTCACCTGGTATAAAAAAAGAGAGAGAGAGAAGTGTGAGATCCTATTTCGAGATACAAAGACAACTCCTTAAACCTCCTCTTATTACGGACAAGAATAGTATTTCAAAGATATAAAGGACTCTGGCAACATGAAGGCCATATTTATTATATTTCCATGTACATCAGATGTTCGGTTTGTATGGACTAGTGCAAGGTCAGTACCATTGCTGCTCGACTATATATCCATTAGGACAAGGATCTCCTATCAGTATAAGATTAACTAAATCCTGGGAAAGAAAGTCAATAAAAGGGTTACTCCAAACACCAGGGCCATATCCCTGATCTGAAGTGGTCATTGTGTCTGGTGTATGTATGTGCAGCATCTTGACAGAGGTGTAACTCCACTTCTGGGCAGGTAATTGAGGCACCATTAGCCGGCTAATGTATATTCTGTGCAAAAATGACGTGATGCAAGCCCTGGCCCCTGTCCATTCCACCCAAGTTCTCCTCACAGCCTGCTGTCCCTAACCTCTATCCCTCTCCAGTAAGGTGAAGTGACATCAGCTAAGGAGAACTTGGCTTTGGTGTTAGAATTAAAGGACCACTATAGTCACCCAGACCACTTCAGCTCAATGAAGTGGTCTGGGTGCCAGGTCCCCATAGTTTTAACCCTGCGGCTGTAAACGTAGCAGTTTCAGAGAAAGTGCTATGTTTACATTAAGGGTTAATCCAGCCTCTCATGGCTGTCTCCCTGACAGCCACTAGAGGACGCTTCCGCAACTGCTTTGAGGACACGCTGGACGTCCATAGGAAAGCATTGAGTAATGCTTTCCTATGTGCAGTTTGAATGTGCGCATGGCTCTGGACGCACATTCGGAGCAGACATCAGCAAGGGGAGGAGAGGTCACCAGCGACGAGGGAGCCCAGCACCTGATTAAGGTAAGTGGCTGAAGGGGTTTTAAGTGGCTGAAGGGGTTTCAACCCCTTCAGCCCAGCGGGAGGGGGGACCTAATAACCCTATAGTGCCAGGAAAAAGTTTGTTTTCCTGGCACGATAGTGCTCCTTTAAGGCAAGTTTTAGCTATATTATTTTTCATTTTTATGGGGAGGAGCCTGTATAGGAATTGTTTACTTAAAACACTGTTTTCGGATGGAGTAACCCTTTAAAGTGAAAGCAAAGATGTTTTTTTTTCCAGTTAGATCCCTCTGCCAAGGAAATGTGTTTATTTATGGAATTTCACCCAGTGAAGAAGATCCTGCAAGACCACTGCAGCTTGTGGAAATGGCATAAAGTGACTGAAGAAGCACCACCCATTCCCACATTTTGCTGAAAATCATCTTCTCCATTATAGAGTGGCGTCTAATTTTTTATATACCATTTATTGCAATTGGGACGTGGACATAGTCATGTTCTAATTAATGGCAGTATTTTTTAATTTTCTTTTATTGAGCTTGCAAGTCACACCCAACTTACCAAAAAAAGGGCATGGTAATGGTAGAGTACACCGTGATATTCCTCTATGGTGGTGTGGTGACTCTGGCCCCATGAAGCCACCAAAAATAAATAAATAGCAACAAAAAAAAAAAAAAAATAGCCCTCCTAGCACTATTCTTATTGTACAATTAACCTTTTAATATAGTGCCTCAGATGTGCATGATACACAGCCTACTTACCAACTGTTTAAAAATATCTATGGTATAGGTAGCGCAATATATAATTTATATAATAAGTCATTAGCTTAATCATCTCATTACAGTATAAAGTAGAAAATGCATGTTAATAGATAAAATAGCAATGATCGCCACCTGAAGATATTCACAAATTAATAGCAGTGCACAATCAAGGTGAAGACTTGAAAACACATGACGGACTTGCAGACCAAACCACGAAAGTGACCAGAATGTTACTCCCATACCAGACGGCCTTGCACTGAAAGTATAGCCAGTTTACTGCACCTGTTCCATTGAAGGGCAAGCTATGATCTGCAAATCTTCACTACCGAATTCTTCTTTCAGCAACATGTGGACTTTCTGGAAAATTTGTTGAATATTACTCTAAGACAAAAAGATGAAAAAAAAAAAAAGGTATCCTTTGTAAACGAGCTGCACCAAAACACAAGTTATCACTATTAACATATGTCACTAGAATAATGCCTTTTTACCCAAACACGTGATGCCCAGATCACATCATTTGCTCTATGCAGATTACCAATACCATGTCTGCATATTAACCGCACCATACAATGCTTTTAATGTCATTGTTCCTCCCTTACTTGCTTAAAACTCTTTATTTTAGTAATATTGAACAATATACAAATGAGGACATCTTACTGGCTGCTAACATTGTGTATTTTTACATTTTAATTGGTGCAGAAGTCATAGGAAGATGTGTTTTGTTTGCTCAGTGGAAGATTAGAAAAATGGGAGGACATGTTCCATTATTGTACACACTGCATATTATACAATGCATGTTTTCCAGTGACAGCTTAACAGACTGAAGATGTGAATATGATGCACGGGGAGCATGATGAGTTATTTCAAGGGATATAGTTATCTCTGCTTGTATCAAAGTACACAACATTTTACCGACCAAGGTGTAAAAGCATTTTCAAGAAATTCACATGGTAACAACAGTTTTCACACTGAGCACAATACACACTAGTCCACTTATTGCAAAAAGTAAAAATAAACAAAAAACTAGTGCTGTTTGCAATACTACAGAAGCAATTTCTTTTTATTTTATTTTTAACCAAAAGCTTTCATGACTTAAAGCGGCACAGTCATTGCTGAGCTTACCTTTCTTTATTCGATTCCTCTTCTCCCCCTCTCTCAGGATCTATTCTTCATTTCTTCCTGTCTGCTCTAGTTTTCTTTAAAACATAAGACAAAGTAGGGAGTATTTGTCTTATGGAGGTTTCCTACACCTGACCATCTCTGACCAAAGGAGTAGCAAAGTGTGCTTCGTTTCCGGTGATCAAAGCAATTTTCCCACAATTCTCCCTTTTGATCCATGATCTTGCAATGCTTTCTGTCAGTATTCCCGAACGTCCTGTCACTTAGACAGAACGCTCAGGGGTGAGAGCAATAGGTCCCCCGTTCACAGTTTAATAGCCCGCTCGGGCGGGGGGACACTAGGGTGTTTGTTTTTTTTGTTTTTTTTATTAACAGTGAGCACTGGCTGTATGGCGAGTAGGGGCAGAACTTACTAATACTAAGTAAGCTTAACTTAGTATTAATAAATTTGTCTGAAAGACCAATTTAGGTCTCTTAGCCTTTTGGTAGATAGCGCCCTGATACCGTGGGAATTAGTGAGTTATCTACTAAGCGGCTGCAAAATACGCGGCAAGAATCCGATCGGAATTTCGTTCATTAGAATGAAATTCCGATCCGAACAAAGTCCCGAATTGCATCCTAACACGAAGGGAGAAACTGTTCTCTTTCTGTTAGGACAAAATCCAGTAGTTTAGCTGGCGTTCTGTCTAAGTGACAGGACGTTCGGGAATACTGACAGGAAGCATCGCGGATCAAAGGTGGGAATTGTGGGAAAATTGCTTTGATTATCGGAAACGAAGCACACTTTGCTCCTCCGTTGGTCAGGCGTAGGAAACCTCCATAAGACAAATAGTCCCTACTTTGTCTTATGTTTTAAAGAAAACTAGAGCAGACAGGAAGAAATGAAGAAAAGATCCTGACAGAGGGAGAGAAGAGGAATTGATTAAAGAAAGGTAAGTTCGGCATGACAGTGCCGCTTTATATCAGCAGTTTCAACTTTTGTCAAACATCAAAGTCTTTATCTGAATTTTGTCGGACTAACGATCTGTGTGACCAGGTCCGATAAAAGTAGTATAAGCATTGCACCCATGTGCATTATGTTGGTGCGTACATGCACAGTGCTTCTGGGAAAGGAGAAGTCTGCATGGGAAAGTACGGAGTAGCTGAATTTATTCAGCCACTAACCTCTTTCTGCTGGAGTAAGCAGGATTAGAGGAGACCGGAGATTAAAATTTCCAAGGTGAATACCTCTATTTTTGCATATATTATATTTTTAGATAATATTTCCATATGTTCGATGTATTTTTGTATACTTCGAATGAAGAAGCAGAGGACAAATAAAGTCTTATTTAACTTCCCATTCTGCTTAATTCAGATCTCCACTTCATTCAATAATCGAACATCCTCTAGCCCCTTACTCAATCTCATTTGTTCCCATTGTTATTTCATACATTAAATTCTTTACATAGTCTACTTTTATTTGAGCCTCTCTCCCCTCATTTAATTATTCTGAAAGGGACCCTATTCACAGCATAACGACTTCTGTTTAGTATAGTGGTTGTGTTGCCTAGAGCCTCTGAGCACTATTCCCTGGTTCTTTATCAAACAGTTTGGTAAAAACACTATTCCTGGCACTCCGGAACCACACTGAACTTATACTTTCCTATTGTGAATAACCGTTCCATCCAACGTGGAAGGCAGTGATTGGAAGAGCACACTGCAGCCTCCTCCTCCTCCTCTTCCTTATCACATTGTTCCTCTCCTCTCCCCATATGCACAATATACTCTATCAACCTTTATTATGTACTGTATCCTTCCCCATCATTGCATAAGCCATTTATCTATGTAGCATTCATGTGTGACCTTCAGTCTGTCTGGTATGTATCCAGTCCAGTCTCACTTATTGCTCCTCTGCAGTGCCTGTTTAGGATGGTTTCTCCAGGTTGTGTTATGGACAACATACCTCCTTTTTTCTACATACCAAGAAGGAGCAAAAGTACCAGTTTTCATTGCTCAAATGTGACAACTAATACAGCCAATAAAATTAGATTTAATTGGTCAAAGAATTGGTGAGAATACAGACGTTCCTTCAATGAAGTCCATCTTTAACAGAAAGACATGGTATCTCAGCTAATCCTTTATTTCCTATACACTAGGTTTCTACTGACATGAAGGAAAGTCCTTGAGGCTATATTGTACATATGCACACGGTTTTGAGTGTGAGTAGCAGTGAGAGGGGCAAAGCCTGTCCTCCCTCTTATATTCACTTATCAACTAGAATGCAATAAAACCAAACTAAAAGATCCAAAGTTTTTGTCAGCATGCAAGCTTGAGGTGCCACTTTGAAACGTCGAATTACAATAAAATAAGATTATTCCTCATGCATACCATTTTGGCCATCACTATATTTGGATATCAATACTCACTCTGACTGGCTTAAAGAGGATGAACTCTGTATCTTTGTTAGCTAGATACAATGACATACTGCGTAGTGTCAGTGGCAGTTTTGTTTTCATGGTCTTATACGTGGAAGATAGCAGGTCATTAATCTTTGCTGCAGAACAAACACAAACAAGAAAACGACAATTAAAAAGACCACTTCAGTTCTTGTTTGACCTCCTGGTAGGTCTTTAAAACCATTATAGTGCAAGCATAATGCAGATATATAGTTTTTACGGTCCTTGTAATATTTACTTCTATCATCTAATGATTAAGTGTATTAGATTTATTTCCAGCTGCATGTATGAAGCCACCTCCGCTTGAACTTCAACATTAACTGATTAATTGGTTTAGATTTGTTCATCTGAAATAATGTAAAAAAAAATGTACACTGCACTAATGGGACAAGGAGAGACATACCAGATCCCTGCCAAGTCACAAACGGTCACAGAAAAAGAGATGCATTGTGTAGTCATACCAGGTTGTGCCCAAGGCTGCTGTGGAAGACTGTATTTTGGACCTCCTTGGCTGGCCATGGTTTTCAAAGCAGCTACCTAAATGAAATAAAACAAACACCTATCATTAAACAGCAATGAAGAGGTTCAAAGACATTGTAGAACAACTAACTATTCCCCAAAAACAAATGGTTTAGGAAGCATTTTACTTTTGGTGGAGGGCCTGCAAGGTGTCCATTCTCAAGAATTGTAATATTCAAGGGCACCAGTGACCCCTAGTCCAAATGGAAAGTATACTAGAGCTAAGCAGTGATCCAAACCTTTTCTCCATCTCCTGGTGCAATAATATCATGTAATATTGCAACAAGTATATCTCACAGCTCGTGGCATACACTATAAAGGACTCGTGGATTCCTAAAACACACCTTTAAAGCAAAATAGCTGGAAGCCTAGAAGAATTTTTGAGAATGTTTCCAGTACGGCTATTTTGCACTAAATTTAAAATTTCCTTTGAAATACGGACAGTTCCAATTTTTTGTAAATAATCCTGACAGTGTTATTACACTCACAGCATCTCTGAAACATCACGGACTTGGAATGCTTCAAAAACATGATTGTAACCTACACACATCCCATTGATAAATGGTATATTGATTGCAAAAATATTAACTCCCCTTGAATGTTGCTGCATTTTGAAGAATTACAGCCTGGGATTAAAATATTTTTTTAGGATTTTACAATTTGTTTAACAGTCCATCTATCTTGTTCTCAATCCTGACCAGTTTCCCAGTCCTTGCAAATTAATTACCCTAAAGAAAACGCTGGCATTACGCTTAACGCCATAGGCATAGGGCTCTCAGAATGGTGACAAGTATTGACTTTGCACCACACACAGCATGTTACAGACAGAAAAGGCAAAACAATTTGGGATTATTCTAAAATTTAGTGATCAAATAATCTAAATTTTATTAAAGACAGGAGGCGAATATTTGCTTATCTTTCCTTACTGAAACTCCCAGCAGCAAAGAAATAGTTAACAATCAGTGTAAAAACGTTTGACCAATCAGCATGCATCACAGTAATATAAACTGCCATCAGGCTCCTGCCAACTCCTCTTTCTTGATGTAGCCGAGCAGCTGTAGAGTCAACCATGTAAACGTAGAACAGGATAACGATGTAAGATCAGGTAGGAGGAAAACAGTGCTCAACAGGTGGAGGAAACTTTAAACAGGGATGACGAAAGATGTTCACACTAGAAGGAAAGCGAGAAACATCATGAAAGTATGGTCTCTTGGGCAAGAGAAATCAAAACTGAAAATGCAATGAAGCTAATGTTCACATTGAATGCAAGAAATACGAAGTTACCAATCAAATGACAAGTATAGGTTAAATAAGGAGGACAAGCCAAGAGAACACTAGCCACCAATTTAGAAATGGGGGCACTGTGAGATACTTACCTAGAAGGGTGGGATTAAGTATTTCAGGGTGGAAAAATATTTGCCTCCTGTCTAATAAAATTTAGATTATTCGGTCACTAAATGTTAGAATAATCCCGAATTTTATGGCAAGACAGGAGGCTTTATATTTGTTGTTTTAACACGTAGATAGCATGGATAGAGAAACGTGGAGATTGCCTAAAATAAAAAGTACGGAAAGTAGACTCTCTGGACCAATCAGTGGAGGATAAAATCTCCGCCAAGAAGCCTCCAGCCATAAATACAGAAGAAGCGGCAGCGCCTCTAACAGAGTGAGCCCCAAAAGATGCATCAATGCCATCTAGAGCTAGAAGCGATTTAATCCACCAAGCAATAGTAGGGCAGGACATTGGCTTGTGTGGTCGTACATAAGACACAATGAGGGGCCCAGTAGGTGTCCTAAGAGGGTTAGTGTAAGAGATGTAGTGTCTTATGCAACGGGCTACACAGAGGAGGGATTTCTCCGGAAAATAAGTGTAACTCACGGTAGATGAATTGGTCTTGGTGAGTGCAGTGATATGGAGGTTCATCCCCTCCGGAGTGAAATCGAGGGCATGAAAGTCAAAAGCCCTGATGTCGGAGACTCTCCGGAATGAGACCAAACAGAGAAGTAGTGCTAATTTGGCTGACAGCTGCTGTAGAGAGAGCGCTTCGTTATCTGGCCAAGATTCTAAGAATGCTGAGAGCCACATCACAGAATTTATCATATTTAGGAGCTGGAGACCTTGCGATGAAGATGCTATGCAAGGGTCTACACACAGAAGAATGTTTGCCTACTGAAGAATTGTCAATAGGAACGTGAGCTGCAGAAATAGTGGAGTGAAACACGTTAATAGACTGGAAGGATTTGCCCTGATCGAAGAAACGACAGGAAATTGATAATATTAGTTAGAGATGTTGAAAAGGGATCAATGTCCCTTTCCACACACCAGCAACTCCAGCGATGCCATGCAGAGGGGTAAGAGCGTCTAGTTCCTGGGGCCCATGAGTCCTAAAGGAGTCCTTGAGCAGTAGCCAAAAGGTCTGAGACATTCCAGGATCCACTGAAACGGTCCAAGCCACTAGTCGGAGATGATCCTGAAGTGCCAACAGATGAAAGTTGCCTGCCAGGTCCCTGAGATCATCGCAGGAGGTGGGTAGAAGGAGAAATTCCACTGACATTTCCAGAAGGTACCATGGATGGGCTCACCATAGGTGGGGGTCACCAGAGTTATCTTCACACCTTGAAATTTGAGATACTGTAGTGTGAGTAGGATCATGGAGAATGGAGGGAACGCATATGCTCCGGACATCGGCCACGTCTTTAGGAAGGCATTGACTGCAAGGCATGCTAGATTTGGCAGCCAGCTGAAAAATGCATCTGTTGGACGGTTGAGGAGAGATGCAAACAGTTCCAGGCTGAATGGTCCCGCCAGATCTGCAGACGGTGAAAGATTTGCGGGTCCAATTGCCAATCGCTGGAATCTTTCCAGTGTCGGGAAAACCAATCTGCGATGAGGTTGTCAAACCTGGTAGATATTCCGCTCGAAGGGAGATATTTCGACAGCATCTTTGATTTGGAACCTCCTAGACGATTCACATAGCAACCGCTGACACATCTTCAGAACCAAGGAATAATTGTAGACGTCCTTGGCAAAATTTACGGATTGCGAAGGAACCTGCAATTAGTTTGAGGCAATTGATATGAAGTGCTTGTTCCGATTTGGACCAGAGTCCTCCAGTAAAATGTTCAGAGCAAGTTGCCCCCTATCCGAGAAGGCTGGCATCTGACTCAAGAATGAAACCGGGTTGCGATCCGAAGATGGCTCTCCGTCCCAAGCTTCGATAAGATGTAGCCACCAGTTGAGTTCTAGCCAGACCGCATCTGTGAGTGTGATCTGCTGATTGTAAGATGTCGACTATTGCAAGTAACGTGTTTTTAGGCATTGCAGTGCTCGGTAGTATTACAGGGCAGGGAATATTGCCTATATTGAAGCAGAGAGTAGGCCGAGGATGCGGACTAGATCCCACAGGCAGAGGTATGGTGACACCAGCAACCTCAGAATGTCCTTTTTGATGGATTTGATTTTTGTTGTAGGAAGTTGTAGGACTGCCTGAACAGAATCTATCTGGAATCCAAGGAATTGCACCATCTGAGACGTGGCAAGAGATGATTTCTGGAGATTGATCACAAAGCCAAGGTCATAACCGTATGAAGGTGTAGAGTCTTCTGGTCAAGTGCCATGAGGAGGATATCATCCAGATATATGATGGACCAAATTCCCTGGGAGCGTAGTAATGCCATTAATCGTTTCATTAGCTTGGTAAAGCACCAGGGTGCGGAAGGTAGGCCGAAAGGAAGGCAGGTGAATTGCAATAGTTCCTGCTACCAACGAAACTGAAGGAGGCAGCGATGGGCTGGTGCGTCCTTTAAATCAAAGCGGGAGAACTAATCTCCCTCGCAGAGTAGGTCTCGTAACAGAAATGTCTGTATGTGATGAACCTATTCAGAGCTCTCATATTGATAACAGGTCGAAAGTCTCCCGATTTTTTCCTGACCAGAAAAATGTTGCTTATGAAACATGTGGCCTGCAAACTCTTTCGATAGCACCCTTGGTGAATAATTTGTCGCGTTCGATACGTTAAGTCGACTCGTCTGTCAGCAACATTTTGATCGGGATAGGGGGAAAGGTTTGTATCGGATGATCCCTCGTGATCCCGGTGAATTGAGACCAGTGTTGGGAAAAAAGGGTTAACAGACCTGCAATAGGTATATGAGAATAAGGAGGGTCCATTACCTGTAGCAGTGCGACCGCGGAGGGAAGCATATCCACATCCTCGTATAGGCCAGTGGTGGTAACGGGTATTGCCAGAGTTCCAAGTGTCCAATGGTTGAGGCCTGTAGCCCGTGAAGGCGGCTTTGCCAATCGCTCGGCCACTGTAGCGACCAGCTCTCCCAGAAAAACGTTGCGTGAGAAATACCTTGCGATGGGAGGACTGCGCTTTGGTTAGCGTAGTAAATACGGAAACATGTTTACTTCGTTCTTTTATGAACTTGTCTCCAAATAACATCCCTTGAGCCTTAGGACCAAGCTCTTCAATGCCTAATTCAGGAAGCTTGGCATCAATTTTTTTGCCTTCCGCCGTTCTGTCGAGATGGCAACATTAGCATTGCTTAAGAGGCATAAAGCCCTTTGTGCCCATTCTCACACCATATGTGCATCAAAAGTGCCACCTGTCAAAATCTAGTCTGCAATAATGAAAATCTGGATGAGCGGGCCCTCAACATCCATACGTTTAAATTGAGTGGCCTTCAGGCCTTGTTTTAAACCTTTACGGGGGTCTCTCCCCGACTTATTCAGAAAAGTTACAAAAAAGGGATCAAATTCGGGAGTAATTGCCACCTTGTTAGGGATGATGGTCCTGGGCAATCTGCCCTTAATTTGTCCCTCACCTCCTTCTCTAAAGGTCAGTGGAGCCACATTCTGCAGTACTTGGCAATGTGGTCTGGAGGTGCCCATTCGGCAGATCTAGGGTGCCCGATACAGCTAGGGTCAAATAAGGTGCGGCCAGTGGTATCTAATAGGGTATTGTCTGAACTAGGATCAGTGATAGGGTCGGACTCCAAATGGAATTCCTCTTGTGACATGAGGAAGGACTCTTTAGCAAACTTGGACAGAGAGAGATCCTCATCCAAGTACCCCACAGAGTATTCATCTACAACTTGAAGATGATAGAGGTTGAACCCTCAAGTGGATCAAAATCATGTTGGAAGACAGCTTCCCTAGATTTAAAATGGGAAACTCTCTGGGTTTTGGCAGGCGCTTTGCCTTTACCGGCGGCAGCGCTATTACCCTTCCAAGGGCATTTGCGAGGGGTTTCGTCAGGGTCTGAACCTTTGGAATACACAGTCTGACAATTGAGTAATATTCGCCATAGGGGCCAGCACTGTCTGCTTGCGGAATGCCGCTAAAGCCTTGGGTATGGAGTCAGTGATGGCGTTGTACATCCATGCCGTGAGTTCAGCTGAGGCTGCGGGTTCAGGCAAAAAAATTTCAGATATATTGGTAGTAACAGATAACAGTGGCATCACCACTTTAAAGAAACACAATTTTTTTTTTTTTTTATATTTTATAATTTATGCAGAATAACTGTACAAAAGAAGCAGCAGTGGACTTATACAGGATATAGCTAAAAAAATAATGAATAAATGGATTATCCTGAAAACAACAATTGTGGATGAACCCCACTTCTTATCAATGGAGTTCACCCAATGTAGAAGGACAGCAAAATGTCCAGAATCAATGACAGGTATGACTTGTGTAACCAATGTAGGGGGTCACCGTATAGAGGTTAATAGTACAAGGATTTAGTACAGTAGTTTTTATTTGTGGGATCTGCAAAAAAGAAACAAAGGATTTGCATCAGATAGGAGTAAACTCCTAAATGTGTATGGATAGATCCTCTACTACAAGAACAGAGATATTTACTTACCTAGTAGCTGGGTCGCAAACGCGGTAAAGAGACGAAACGATCGGTGGACATTACATGCCAGGTATGCAGGACAAGATGGCGCGGGCGAAAGCGGTTACAAAAAAGGCTGCAAACAGAGAAGGCGGGAAGCGTCTCTATGGAGACGTGATAAGGTAGTACGAACAGTGCGCAGGAAAACGGAGCGGCTGAACGGTCCAGCGAGATGCCAAGAGCCGCGAAAAAAAGAAAAAGCTGCTAGTAGGCACAGAGTATTTGGGGATATACAGAAAAAGAAAATAGCTGTGGGCCGGCAGTTAAGGTCGGCCCATCTACACGGTTTTATGAAACAGAGATAAAGAAGACCAAATAGCATTAAATTATTTAGGTTAAAGTGGACCAAATAAGAACAAATATCAAGAAACTCTATATTATAAAAGGTATTGATTATGACAAAAGAACAACAATGAGTGAAATTGGAATAGACTCACCTGGAAGGCTAAGCAGCAAAGAAAGAGGAGTTGGGAGGAGCCTGATGGCAGTTTATAGTTCTATGATGCATGCTGATTGGTTAAACTTTTTTACACTGATTGTTAACTATTTCTTTGCTGCTGGGAGTTTCAGTAAGAAAAGATAAGCAAATATTCTCCTCCTGTCTTGCCATAAAGACCAAGGAATGGTTCCCCACATGCAACAAACATTTTTAATTAACTTTTGTGCAAGCAATTTCTATATTTTTGCTATATTTTCTTAGAAATCAGGGTGAAAGGGACAGGCTCCAAGTCTCTCTGCCCACTCAGATGCAGACCTGGCACTATTCAAGCATTTCACAAATAATAAAGGGGATTGTAATGCAGGATGCTGACAGCAACTACGGATATAGGAAATAAATGGGAAAATCAATATCTATTGGGAGCAGAATATGGATAAATAATGAACGCATTATTTTACCCCCTTGTGCTTCCTCATCACCTGGTTCCATATATCCCAAAGAAGGATATGGTGAATGGAAACTTACATAGTGGGGAGACAGTGATATGATGGAGCAGGAGACCGTTAAATAAAGTAATGATTACCTCATTATTTAACCCATTACTATTCTTTATGTCCCGTTCCCTAACCTCCTATAACAAGATATGTGTAAGAATGAGCTGAGACAGTTATATGGCAATAGAGGGGGGTATTAAAGTCTGAATAAAACAGTAAGGGCACACCAAGGATTAAGGAAGCAGAAGAAATGATTGAAAGTTGAATAATGGGAAGGAAAATTAAAAATAGGGAAGGGGCATATAGAAACAACAGTGGGAGAAGGAGATGGAAGGCAAAGTAGATATAAGCAAGACACGTTGTTTGACCCAGGACCCTGTAAATGCTTAACTGGTCTCTGTATGTCTGCCCCTTGACATGTCGGTCAAACAAAACCATCCTGCCAAATGAAGGAAGCTAGCAATGGCATATAATCTATTTACATACCATCCAGAACTTTTCATCATGCACGGAGTAAAGCAGCATACTGCCCCCTAGTGCTCACAGAAGCCAACACACACATGCTCAGCTTAACAAAGAGAAAAAAAAAATTGGAAAAATGGAAACTATACTCTCAATTCATTAAACCAGGAAGGGTGTATCCTGGGTTTGCCGTTTTTCAAATCTGTCATGTGGTGTTATTATCCACATGCAATGCAAAGAACAAAAAGTGTAGTGACCGCTAAACGTTTGGCACCTCTAGATGCATGTATCAGTAACCATCCCTAGTGCTTCTGATATGTCAGTCAGTATTACTGTTGTGGAGACATGCTGTTTATCAAGAAGAGAATCCATTGTCTCAGCACAGCTCTGTGACCTATAGAACAACAGGTGATCAACAAGCAAAATCCCCTCATGCAGTGTACAATGCTGACCAATTCTGGGCTTTTGTAAGAAATATTCTACTGGTAACAAAGTGTCCTCAATAAAAAAATATATTAATGGCAGCATATAGATCACTGTTCAATATCTCGGTAAAGAACAATTAAGTGAGACATTCCCATGCTTACCGATAAAATAGCACCTATACCAAAGCAGAAAAATATATGAAAGGGTAGAGGAGTCGTTGTGGGAAATATAGTCACACAAATGCAATACCACGGTGACTGATTTATCAAGTCCTCCTTGGTTAAATAAATGTATTAATTTTACTAAACTGACCATCTCTCTTTGCTCCCCTGATCTGCTTTAACTCCTTAAGGACACATGACATGCGTGACATGTCATGATTCCCTTTTATTCCAGAAGCTGGGTCTGTAAGGGGTGAAGAAATGTTCTCAGTATAGCTTGGTGGGGATTAGGCCTTTAATGTTGAACACTAATATTAATTTAGATAGGGTAAATATTATCTAATATTAATTTTTTTAGCTTTTTGTTATATTGACCATTTTGTAGTATAAGAGCCAGTCTTCCATATGCTAATTGCGCACATCTCCTTTATACATCAAAACTGGTCTATAGCACCCAATATTTAACTCAGGCCTGTCTTACAAAGAAAGTGACTAGCAAGTGGGAATGATGACCCATGGGGTACAGAGATGTAAATTTGTCTTAGCACAAAGATTTCACAGCATTCTTGATAACGGAATAAGAAAATATAAGCTACAGAATATAATCTACCTTTGCCAAGAAATCTTCTAAAGGTTCCACAAATATTTTGCTCTGCTGCTGAATGAATTGCTCACAAGCTGCCTTGAGGTGACGGTCGACATCCTTCTTGGAGTCAATGTAATGTTCCTTTATTTCAGGAGTTCCCTGAAGTCAATAAAGCCATTTAATATTAAATACCAGTCAAAGATGGGAAAGTGTGTAAGCTGTTATTAAACACTGATCTATAAGTTACCTGCAGGAGAAATTCCAGAATGGCGTTATTGCTGTTTAACCTGAAAAACTTGGGAACAGTCCTAGGATCAAGAATTTTAAATGCAGCATCTGTAGGGGGGGAAATTGGATGGAGTAGAGCATATGAACCAAACCATTATCTTCTCTATATTACCCCATGCAAGTGCCAATGTGCTGGAGAGCAAAATCTATGATAAAACGGTCACGTCTGATATACTTATTAATCAAGAGAGTCTAGAACATAGTTGATATCATATATTAACCGTTATTAAATTATTTAGGCATTTAAAAAGGTATGTCTCATAACAGTTTTCATGCAAATGAAAAAAATACTATGAAGATGGAATTAAAAATAACTTTGGTGAGTAAAGAGGTAAGTAAAATCCATCCACTGTACGTGGTATAGATAATCAAATACTGCTGTACACATCTACACAGAGTGGACGTAGGGGGAGGAATATACAGATTTGACCAACAATGCTCTGTAGCCTACTATAGAGGGTTTTCAGCAAGTACAGTATAGTGTATGTGCTAAACACCAACTTCACAAAGCAGTCTGCCAGGATATTAAATAGTGTATCTTACAAAGTATATTTGCGGACTAGGTCCATGAATAAAGTCAACTTGCAAGATTTTACATAGACTGCAAGACATTTAAATACAATAGTTTGCTTCTATCATATGTTGCAATTAAAGAAACAGTTATCATGAACAGACACTGGAGAAATACAAATATTTGTATATTGGCAGAAATTTTTTTTTTAAGCAATAATATATATATATATATATATATATATATATTTTCCATAGTGAAAGAGTACTGTTTAAAGAAACAATTTATTGTGTGTGAAATATGATTCAATATTTTTAAAGTGTAAAGACATTTATTTATTTTTTAAAAATGTGAAAAGTTGAATGCATCCTATGGAGAAGTTGCAGAACATTTGCTTCTCGACCATGCTTTTACTCTGGTCATTGTTCACATATTTTGGATGCTAAATGTCACTTTAATCCCTCAACTACTTTAGAATATTCATGGTGTAATTCTTAAACGGCAACTCCATGCTTTATGACCACCTCTGCTTTTAGGACGTAAATTTGAAACACAGCCTATAAAGATTTTTCTGCAATTTTGTGCCAAGGTCTAATTCCACCCCCAGCATATGTGACTTAGGCAGCCTGGAACTCTATTCAGCACTGCCTAATGTGAATCCTATGCAAAAAAAATAAGACTATTGTTAGCACACCTTGTGCACAGGCAACGGACCTAATTAGCTTCCACCATTAAAGGAAGAGCTGTGAGTTCGCCTGCAAAGTAGAAGACTGTTTGTTTATAGTAAAATGTGTCCCCTTCCTTCTTCGTGCCTTTTAAAACTCATTTTTTGTACACTCCACACTCCCTCCCTCCAATCCTTGTCTCTGAGTTTCTAAGACCAGTCCAACCAAATGCCTTTATGAGAATTATTTAAATGTACCACGAAGAGGGAAGCAGTGATGCAATGTGACAACACAGGTGGGGCATGGAAGGATTGGGGAGAATGTTATCCAGAGCAGGATTAAAGTAAAGTTATGACTTTAACATGGTTTTTATAAGAATTAAAAAAAAAAAAACAAGGTGGGGGGAAGGCAGTTACAAGTGCCCAATAGAGCATTATACAGTAAATAACAAACAAAAAAATTGTATAAAAGGCTTGGAGGAACGATTTAAGTCTTCTATGCACTGACAAACCCACGAGCCTCTGCAGCGGATTTAAAGTTTCATTATTATTTTTTATTAGAAACCATACTACAATTATTTAAAAAGAGGGTTTGTGCATTCCTTTCAATTATTCAGTGTACTCAACATATGTTTCAATATATATAATGATTGGGGGTGAATTGTTGATTCGTATAACAGAGTCATCTTGTGGCACCATCTTTTACCAAACTTTTCAGTTTCACATTTGGTGTCATGATAAACTGCTAACTATGAAGCATTATAAAATGTTCACTTTAAATGCACCAATTTATTATAGCTGGCTCTCATTCAACTAAGCTCAGCTTTGTTGATAAAGAAATAAGAAGGATTTTAATCAGAATTACACATACACCCACTAAAGAAGTATCAGAAACCCTGAAGGAGAGAAAATAAAATGGTATCTCCTAGATCCAACGCGGAGTCCAAATCCAATTCCCACTGGTGCGTACTTGTGATCGTCCATTCACTGTGATCTGTCGTCATTGCAAAGTACTGTGAAATATGTAATGCACACCTATGGGAATGACTAAGTAAAGCAAAAAAAAAAAAAAGAGGGAAACCCCCATCCCCCCCCAAAAAAATAATTTAAATAAAGCAAAAATATTTATAATTATTTCAATACTTTAATCAAGATGTTTTCATCCAGGGCTCCATAGCCAGTGATCAGATTTCCTGGTTAAGGCACTATTGTTACTTTCAACACTGAATGCATTATCCGCCTTTATTAACTGCAGTCACAAATTGGCTATTTTACACCTAAATGTTACCATTCAGATTTCAACTTGCTATAATTCAGAGTATAGTGAATAAATCACATGACTAAAATGTCATCCCGGTTCTATTAAAGACTGGATGTTCTACAGAATGTTTTTATTTTTGTTGTCCCTTATAGTGTTACGTTGTAGGTCACACTACAATTTGGGATACCCAATTGTACCCTTAGAATTGCAGAAGATTGTACGTCATTGGGGTTTATTTACGTTCGTTCTAAATAGCTCTCATATGATATATAGCATGTTTCACCTAGGCTGACTCAAGTGTTTTGAACGATTCTCAATGAAAAGGATGGCTTGAGGGAAAAGTCAATTTCCTGGCAAATTAATTTGTTCCAATGATATCAGTATGAAAGTGGCACATAGGGATTTTTACTGTATAGCATTATTAGAAGGGATCTGTTTCATATTAAATGCATTCCATTAACTGAGCCGATAAATTGTGCTTTTTGTTTTCCTCTGTCACATGTTCAAGTATTTGCCAATTAAATACTGCAAATAAAAGATTCTTAAAATTGTCATCTTCCTAATACTCTTAGAAAGTTATCCAGCTGCCTGTACTGTATAACTTGAGAGCTGTATAAGGACAACTAATCATGATGTTCCATGTAGGAAGTACTGGCAATGGTGGAGGGTCTGTCCAATAGGAGATAATTTATTTTTATATTTAGGGCATTCAGTTTTAGTGGGACAGCTACATAATATGGAGCAGGGTCTACTTTACCTGAATAATACGTAGAGAAAATAATATAACACATTGGGAAACAAGGAAAAAAAGCCAGAATGGTCAGACACAAGAACCCCCTTCCGCCCTCCCCCAATAATAAAAAAAGTAAGTAAATAAATAATGAAAATTCTGCTTTAAATGCTGTCTGGAAAAATGCACAACAATAATTATATAAAATGAGGGTGTAACTATGACGCCGCTCAAAAAATAAATAAAAAAATTTCTTTTAGTGGTTAGAATGTGGTAAATATATAAAATTGTAACACTATCACAACAGAAAGCCAGTCATCATAGGTATGATCACTTACCAGGTTACGAGTGAAGTTGAAATCACTTACCTTTTCATTATATGTTGGCTGACAGAAGAAATTTACTCATTTGGCAAATATCTGAGAAATTTCTCCTGTCAGTCAACTAAAAACACCAGAAAGGACATATTTACCTACTGACCACAAACACAAGTATTACTACTTTGGTTTCAGATATGTTCAAATGCAATGAGACTGATAATATTTGTTGAGCAGAAAGAGTGTGATGAGAAAAGTGATAGAGCTCTAGTTGTGGTTGCTGGTAGTTTGTATACACATGCAAGCAAGCAGTTAATTCATTTACCCTGTGCACAAACGAATCTACATATATTATCTGCTCTTTTAAGAGAAACAGGAATTACAGACTTTGAATTCTATAACTTTATAGACAAAACAAAAAAAAAATTCCATTGTATGTGGGTGTAGATATAATTTTCCACAAATGTGAGAAAAAAATATATATGTATAATTTTTTTTATTTATTTTTTTAAGGCGAAGTAGCAAGATTGCCCTGGTCTTTAGCAGCAATCTATCAATGGATTAAAAACAAAAACATTTTGTTAGTAAAGAACATTTCTGCCAATACACATTACGAGTAATAATGCTAGGAGAGAGACTTCACACAATTAGTTCGTATTGCATGCATAAAAAGCATTCACAACTATTTACATATGGGCTACTTTTCTTTCAGTGAACATTGACAGACCGGCTTTTGAAGTGCACTATTAAATGCACAGCATTCAACAGTATAAATGTACCAAGCCAGTATACACATAATATACACATATCATATTCTTATTCATATAGCATTAGGGATAGAGATGTCTTTACAGAATCAGGAGCTCTGAAGTCTCCAAACATCAAGTAAGAGGGTATGGCCGATATGGCCTTATTAAAGGGAGACTGTAGGCAGACAGGGCACTTCAGGTAATTGATGTAGTCTGGGTGCTATGTCCCATGTCCCTTACCCCTACAGTGGTAATTATTGCAGTTTATGAGTAACTGCAATAATTACCTGCTAGGGTAAACTCATCCTCTAGTGGCTGTCTACCAGTCAGCCACATGAGGGACTTCCCGGTGCTTAGACGACTTTTGGTCCTTAGCATGAGGACTTCCAGTGTCACCGGAATCCTATGGGGAAAGCCTAATGAGAGTGCGGCCTTTGCCAAGTATGCGCATTAGATCTCAGACGTCAGCCAGCGGGAGAGGAGCGTGGGCAGAGCCTGACCCAGCACCGAGGGACATCACCGCTGGATTCAGGTAAGCGACTGAAGGCGTTTTAACCCCTTCAGTGCCGCGGGAGGGGGGCACTGTAGGAACCTATAGTGCCAGGAAAACGGCTTTGTTTTCCTGGCACTATAGAATCCCTTTAACAATATCAACATACCATTTAAACCGTTACTCCAAGCACCATGACCACTTCAGTGACTTGAAGGGGTTATGGTGCCTGAAGTCTGTGTGCTGTATATATAGGGATTAATTTCACTGCTGTCTGCATCTCTGACAGCAACATTGGGTGCCTTTAGCCATCCCGAAACAAGAGTTTCATTCTGTACAAAATTGGCATCTAACACCAACATGCACAGCACACTGGCACAAGAAAGTCAATGGCAGCACAGCTCCATCCATCTGTGTCGTCCATGTGCTGCGCTCAGTTTGTCCTCCCTGGCTTGACTCTGGCAAGAGGGTGTGGCGTCAAAGGAGGAGGAGGGACAACTTGCCCTCTGCGCTTTTCATAAAAAACTGGGCTTTGGCTGGAGTAACCCTTTACAAACATGCTTTATGAATTGTATTATAATGAATATGCCATTTATTTTGTGATACTAACTGAGCACGTTCTGTGTAGCTAAGGATTAAAAAAAATAAAATTAAAAAAAAAGAGGCAGTTCTGATCGTGTATGATCTGTAAGTATGGTTCATAGGATTGAAACGATGAATCATTCTCATTGAATCTAAACACTTATGTTCTAACTAATAATATCCCCATCTCAAAAACACATGCTGCTTTGGCATCAAGAGATCCATGTTCTAAACTATTCTAAATCGAACGGCTCACCAGGTATCTATATTTATGCACAACAATGTAATGTGGACACAAAAATATAATTAGAAAACGCAGACTTGCCAAGCAGACCAGTTTTGCTAGGTTAGATGAGTTTCTGGAAGCAGTTTAAGCAGCATGTTTATCTACCATGTTAAAATTAGTGTAGGACCCCCCAATATTGGAGTACTGTATACTAGTGGTGCGCTAAACACGGTATCACCATATGATGTAACTAAATCCTCTTATTTGTTTGTTAAGACAGGTCATTAATAAGTAGCCGTGTAAAAACTTTGTTTGCACTTTTCCTTATTAAGGTTTGCTATGTAAGCAGCAAAACCTGAATCTAAGGCAATTAAAAGGAATAATAAGTAATGTGAATAAAATACACAATGTTAAAATGTCATTATTACTGGTGATCCATCCTTTTAAAGTTGTAGCTCTTTAGATCAAATTAGCAAGCATGCACAGATAGGGTATCTTCATGCATTGTATTGCAGGTGAACATGAAATAAATCCAAAGAAATGTCAGGTAGATGACCAGAGCGAGATAGGCTAACCCTATACAGCTCCCTCAGCCACCATTCAGTAATACCTCTTGTTCGCTTGAGGTCCAAGGAAATTTCTTTAATGGTGAATTCAGTGTGAAAAGGAGCAATTTGCTCACGGAGGATCAGAAGATGTTTGATGAGAAAGAGTTGTCCATCAACATGAGTCTAAAAGAGAAAGAAAAACAACATTCAAATTCTTCCATCTTAATCTCATAGGCTCAAATATATGTGGTAACACTGTATAATACCTAAACAAGTATACAGGGACAAAAATGTTAACATGAGGAATTAACTGTGACAATTAGTATATCCACTATACAGACAAAATGTATTGGGAGACTCCTCTTAAATAATGATCTCTGGTGTTTCAATCAGTCCCATTGCCACAGGTATAAAAACAATCAAGCATCTACAAACACAGTCGGCCTTTATAAACATTTAAAATTTTAAAAAATAATAATGGTCATTCTGAAGAGCTCAGTGAATTCAAGCATGGTACTGTGATAGGATGCCACCATTGTAATAAGTCAGTTTGTAAAATTTCACCCTGCAAGATATTCCACAGTCAACTGTAAGTGGTATTATTGGAAAATGGAAGTGTTTAGGAACAGCAGCAACTCGGCCACGAAGTAGAAGACCACGTGAAGTCACAAAGCAGGGTCACCGGGTATGGAGGAGCATGGTGCATTAAAAAAAAAAAAAGTCGCCAACGTTCTAATGATTCTATAGCTGAAGAGTTCAAAACTTCCATTGGCATTAATATCAGCACAAGTGATTCATGGAATGGGTTTCCACGGCTGAACAGCTGTATGTAAGCCCCACATCAACAAGTACAATGTTAAGTGTCGGATCAAGCCACTAGACTCCGGAGCAGTGGAAAAGTGTTCTGTGGACTGACGACTCACGCTTCTTTGTTTGGCAGTCTGATGAGTGAGTCTGGGTTTGGCAGATGCCAGAACATTACCTGCCTGACTGAATTGTGCATGAATTGTGAATGATTAGATGAGTCTGGTGTGGAAGAACCTGACTGGCCCGCACAGAGCCCTGACCTCAACTCCATTGAACACATTTGGGATGAACTGGAAAAGAGATTGCGAGCCAGGCCTTCTTGTCCAACATCAGCACCTGACCTCATAAATGCTCTAGTGGATGGGAAGCCTTATCAGAATAGTGGAAGCTGTTATAGCTGCAAAGGGGGTTGGATGGATAAATACATATTGTTTCTGTATTTAGAATGCAATGACAAAAGTCTCTGTTGGTGTAATGGTCAGGTGTCCAAGAAATATAAATATATATATAACCCTTAACTGTGAGGACGTACTGAGCTCTGTTTGCCTATTGTTAGGTGCATTTCCCACAATACATCAGGAAATGTGGCATAAACTAAACAAAACAAAACAGAAAACACAAAAGATGTTGAAAGGTCATGATACAAAGCACATTTATAGAAGAATTAGGGAAGCAACAACAAAAAGCTACTTAAAATGCCAGTGTTTAGTAGCTGAAATGTCAGCTCTCAGGCAGAATAATTTTGCAATTTGTCTTTGACAACAATCACAATTAGCATGGCAGGATAAAGCACTCAGCCTCTGCCATTCAATTATTGAAATCAAGGGGTTCTGTACAAAATTAAACAAATTAAAAATAGTTAGCACTGATATATTTTCACAAGCTATTCTATATAAAGAAGCAATGCATGTTTAACATACATACACACACACTTCATTAACTACTGACAACATTTACTCCAAATTCGGAATAAAAATACTGTCATTTTGAGAATGTATTTAAATGGTAAAAATAACAGAAAAGATGCAGTGTTTCCAGACTTGAAAAAAATGCACACAAAAAAAGTTCATGTTACATTGTTAAATAGCACAATACTATTGTTTTAACTTGGGAAGATTATATATATATATATATATATATATATATATATATATATATATATATATATATATATATCCAGCTCTCTTTTAAATAACTTTCATGAGTCTTGCCGTGCTGTCCATCCATCTTCCTCTTCATCATCACATTCCAGAATTTTTCAATGAGTTTCAAATTGGGCTGGCCACGACAGGGTCTTGATCTGGTAGTCCTCCATCCATGCCATAGAGCATTGCCCTGCTGGATAAACCAATTCTCAGAGTCGAGGAACATTATCAGAGCAATAGGAGACAAGTCTTCTTCCAAGATAACCTTACATGTAGCTTGATTCATGTGTCGTTCACAATGATGAATCTTTCCAATTCCAGCCTTGCTAAAGCACCACCATATCTATACTGACCTTCCTCCAAATTTTTCACTGTGAGTGCAAGATTTGAAGGCCTCTCCAGGTCTCAGTCTTACCATTACATGACTAGGTGTTTGGTAAAGCTGAAAATTTGGACTCATTAGAGAAGATGACTTTACTCCTGTCCTCTACAGTTTAATCCTTCTGGTCTTTTGTAACCCTCAATCAACTCAACAGAATCTGCCTTGCTTCTCATTAATGAGGCTTTTTTTTCTAGGTTTTGCACTACTTTAGCCATGGCCCTAGGAGCCATGTTTTGAACCATCGTAGCCAAGAACTTCACCCAAAGATGTCATCCTTCTGTGAAATTTAAATTAGTTGCCGGTCACCCTGGTCAGTGGAGTCATTTTGCCCTCTTCTGGTGAGTAGCTTTGTTTTTCCCAATGTCTGCTGCTTTACCTTGTTCTTATAAACCACAGTCTTTTAAATTTTAATGATGGAAGCCACCTGACACTCAACGTATCCCACTGCTAGTAAAGCCAGAATCCTTCTTTTCAAATCTTAAGGTCAATCCTTATTTTGATACCTATCTACTACTAACACGGTTTTTGCTATCCAGCAGGTTTTATTGCAAGAGGTAAGTGCTGACCACTGCAGTGCTTTTTGTTTTTTACTTTTCCTCATTAAATAAGATTTGGTTCAGGTGACCACACAATCAGTAACTTATTAAGGAGAACAAGGTTGCTGCCATACACACAAGAAACAACTGGAGTAGTCTCCTAATTTTTTTCAAGAGCTGTATATTAGGTGGCTTTTTTCAAAAGGAAAGCAGTTTTGATAAAACCCCAATTAATATTTAAGAGGATACAATTAAATAATTCTAAACTTTAAATTGTAGAGATTTAAAGAGTTAATCCAAGCACCATGAACAGTTCAGTGATTTGAAGTAGTTATGGTACTTTGGAGTCTGTGCTTGTAAGGAATTCACCATCCGCATGCATGGCATAGTGGCAGCAGATAACCAATGGCAACACAGCCTCCCTCCTTCCGTGCTGCTCTAAGTCCTTCCTCAGCCCAGTCTGTGGGACATACCTTACCCTGCAGCAAGAGAGAGTGATGTCACCAAAGGCAGGTCAGGTTGCAGGGAGAACTTCTCAGCACAAGTTAACGGGCTTCTATTTTTTTCTTGCTCTTTTTATTTTATTTTTTTAATGAGGATACTGTACTTGCAAGGGTTACACCAACCTAAAACAGTGTTTTATTAAGTAACGCGTCAAATCCAAATTGCAAAATGTAGGTTAATATAGAAAAGTGGTGGCTAGAACAGAGATGTTGAATTTTTCCAAATGAGTTATTATGGAAAGAATGGGAATAGAAAGATGCCATGGGCTGGATTACCTGCTTAACGTACACTCTGCCCTGTGTTACACCTTCATACACATTACCCTATCCACATACAAACCATACAGTGTTGGAAACCAATGGTAAAGCTCCTGTACAGTATAAAAGGTAATAATATCCCTGTTTCACACAGCAAACAACAGTTTTCTATCTATTTCCCACAGAAATGTATTTGTATGTATTTTCTTTTGCAAGTTTGCATTCAATAAAAAACTAGAGTCCAAAATAACTAACCTTCATATAGAAACTGACATAACCACACACACCTATAATAGGCAACAGTCTGTTAGCAGATTACAACATCCATTTCTGGCTAAGGGTGATGAGACTAGTGAGTTTCCCACAACTGCTAGTGAATCACACAGCCACTACAAAAATTTTGACACATGTCCTGGAATGACTTCTGCCAGATGTAAACAAGTGGTACCACTAGCAGCATTAGATGGGACAGTGTACCAGACTAAATAGTTGGAAAACAGAATCTACATGTTCATTAATGCTTAAAAATTAGGAACAGAAAAAAAATAAAAAAATAAAATGATGTGTATTTGTGGCTGACTTTTAAAGACAAGTAGTCTAGTGTAGAATGATTAATGGCTGAGCAGTGATTACACAGGATAAGTGTTGAAGAGCAGGGCACAACTGATGCATTTAGTTTCGTCTCACAGCTCACACAGGCGAAAAAATCCTTTACATCTGACAGTCTGCAGCTAACAGCTTCAGACGCCTTTCTCGGGCAGAACAAATTCCATGATCGTGTCTATTCATCTAATCAGAAGCAGTGAGGGTGATGGAGGGCACAAAGGCAACATTTGTTTCCCTCTCTTCATCCCTCTCCAACTGCCCAGCATAGTAAAGTTGTGCTATACTTGAAAATGACAGAATAGCTGTCAGTTCATCCAAGGAGCCTTATGTTTTAAGGTGTGTCGCCTACTCTAATTTTTATATATATATATATATATATATATATATATATATATATATATATATATATATATATATATATATATATATATATATATATATATATATATCTTTTAGTTTGGTGTATTAGCGCTGATCCTTTTTTATCCTTTTGTCTATCACATATACATACACGCTGAGTATCATGGCATTCTCAAAGATAGCATTTTTTGGTTTGCAGGAAGGATGGCAGTGTATTTCAGACCACATTTTACAAATATAAAAAAGGACATTAAATAAAATTATTCTAAAAATTATTTTGCTGTAGGAAAAGATGGTGGGTATTATTCAACACAAACAGTTATGGATTGCTGTTCAATATACACATGTGCATTTAAAGCTTAAATAGTACAGGATTCATTCCACATAAATACTGTATACATTTGCATTTATTTATTTATTTTTTTTCAAAAAGAATAACAAACATTAATCTGACCTTGTTTTTGGAGATTGAATCACAAGCTCTCAGTAATGACTGAATACATGCTGAAAGCGCTTCCTGAGATAAACCCTGAAATACCGTCCTCTAAAGGAGAGAAAAGGAGAACAGTGTCTAGATTAAGGTGATACAACAAAACAATGTAAATGTAATCTGCTGCAGCACACGGCAAACTTAATGAATTGCACTGTATGAACAAACCTTATGTTACTAAGAGAAAGGTTTATCTACAGGTAAAATGATTCATTCATCAAATACCCATTATTGTGGTTCACAACACTTATTTGGTGCTCTTCCACATTTCTGCTGGTAATGCCACCAAAGTCAGAAAACAAACAAACAATCTATCTCTTAAAAATTGGGATAAAACAACTTCCAGTTTGATAGGCTGACTAACCCATGTTTGGAAATGATCTGCAATCAATGGTTTAACCGTTTTTTTGTAATTTAATTTTATAGTGTCAGAGGGGTTTTCTTTTGGGTTTTTTTTAAATGTATCAACAAATCTTCAGAAGGACTGTGATTATTTAAAGCACCCAAGGATGCCCCTGTTGTTATGGTTTCATGATGCTCCTGGCACTTCCTTACCATTAGGGGTTAAATCATTCACAAACTATTTATCAATAAGTTGGCTCTCCAGCGCCGTTGGTCCCTGTAAACAACATCATCCACTTTCAATAATTCTGATCCAGGTAGCATGGCCTGTCACATTTATAAAAAGGGTGCGTACCAGCACACTTAGGGGAAAGCCATTCATCAATGGTTTAAAGGACCACTCTAGGCACCCAGACCACTTCAGCTTAATGAAGTGGTCTGGGTGCCAGGTCCCTCTAGGATTAACATATATATATATATATATATATATATATATATATATATATATATATATATATATATATATATATATATATATATATATATATATATATATATGTATAAACATAGCAGTTTCAGAAAAACTGCTATGTTTATAGTAAGGTTAATTCAGCCTCTAAAGCCTCTAGTGGCTGTCTCATTGACAGCCGCTAGAGGCGTTTGCGTGCTTCTCACTGTGAAAATCACAGTGAGAAGACGCAAGCGTCCATAGGAAAGCATTATGAATGCTTTCCGATGAGACAGGCTGAAAGCGCGCGCAGCTCCTGCCGCGCATGCGCATTCAAGCGGAGAGTAGGCAGAGAGCTCCCCCCCGGCTCTGGAAAAAAAGGTAAGATTTAACCCTTTCCTCACCATCCAGCCCGGCGGGAGGGGGTCCCTGAGGGTGGGGGCACCCTCAGGGCACTATAGTGTCAGGAAAACGAGTATGTTTTCCTGGCACTATAGTGGTCCTTTAACCCATATATGTAAGGAACTGCCAGGGACCTCCTGACACATAATTCATTTAGATGATGTGGTTTTGGTTCCCAGAGAGTTTGTTTAATTTAAATGAACACTATAGGGTCAGAAACACAAACATGTATTCTGGACCCAATAATATTGAAAAAATACCATCTAGCCCCCCTGGACCTCTCTTGCCCCCCTAAATATTGTAAAATGTTACTTTTATTCCAGTCTGCTGGTTCTGGCTCTGCCCCTGATCTCCCTTCTTGGCTGACATCATCAGAAGTCGTGTTCTGAGCCATTCACAATGCTTTCCCATATGAAAGCATTGGATTGGCTTAGACTGTTAAGGAGGCAGATCGGGGGCAGAGCCAGCACAAGCCAAACCCAGTCCTGGCCAATCAGCGTCTCTAACCATAGAGATGCATTGAATCAATGCACCTCTATGAGGAAAGTTCAGTGTCTCCGTGCAGAGGGTGGTGACAATGAATGCACCAGGAAGCACCTCTAGTTGCCATCTGAGGAGTGGCCAGTGAAGGAATCACTAGGCTGTAATGTAGACACTGCCTTTTCTCTGAAAAAACAGTGTTTGCTTCAAAAAGCCTGAAGGGTATTTCTCTACTCACCAGAAGAAATACAATAAGCCGTAGTTGTTCTGGTGACTATAGTGTCCCTCTAACAAAAAGGTACAGGATCCCCTTTTCAACAAAATTATAATCTCAAAAGTAGTGTCATTAGTATCAAAACAGTGTGGCTTAATCAACATAGTTACAAGCTCATTTACAGCTGTTAATGTATCGATAATTAACAGACTCAAATTAAGGCCTATATGTGATAGTGAATACATTTCTCCAGAAAGGCATAGGGTGACCTAGAAATCATTAATGCATTTTTCTCCAGTATGTGGGATCAAGGAAGCAAAAATGACTGAAATATGAATACAGATACCTAATGTATACATGTATTATCTACTTCAGACCTCATGGGGAAAATGCAAGTTTATAACATTTTGTACTTAATTTTTCGCTTGCATTTATGTAAATACTTCTGTAGTTGAATGCCAACCTACTAGTGCAGTCAGCCAGAACTCTCAGTTCTGGGATGCCTGTGTTAATTTTGTTTATATAGTATGCGCAGCATTCGTACAACTTGGAATTAGCTCTTTCTATGGATTATGTCTGTGAGTCTGCCAATCACAGCACACAGACCTGCTCATTAATCAATTAACTGGGGTTTTTGTAAACTGAAGGAAGCCAAAGCATGACTGCTATCATTTGTGATGAGTGGAACAATACCTAGGGGTAAACTACTTATCCTGTAAACTCCTGCTGAGCATGGATTTATTGGATGTGAGAAGACCTAGAAGACCAGAATTATAGAATCCTGATTGGTGGGGCCTCTTAATGGTGAGGAAGGGGACTGACTACTTATTAATTCACCAAGTTTTGATTAAATGTATAGCGGCTCTCCTGAAATAATCTCAAACTCCACATAAAGAAAGAAAAAGCACACACACAAAATGTTTGAAATATTTGAAGGTTACTTGAAAATATATGTTCTTAAATTAAAAACATGTAAACCCTCCTATTTGTGTTCTTTCTTGATAGAGGGAACATGTTTTTAGTCTTGAAAGTTGTGTAATTGTACATTTTGGTCATAACTTTGCCATTTTAGGAATAAGAGTAAAGGATTACTGGTTTTAAGCTAGACATGGCCATTTTTACTTTTTTGTAAGGAAGTTATAGACTGTTTATACATACGTACATGTGTCCTGCTGTGTATAGTTAGCACCAAATTTATATCAAGAATTTAATGTCACATTACATTTGCATAAATGACTTTTTTTTTTCTTGATTGGCTTTTAAAAAAACAGAATAAGAACAGCAAACCTTTTTTTATTTTTGTTAAATAATATTAGTCAAAGTGTCCTTCTTAAAACCATTCAGATCCTTTAGGAAGAATTGAAACATAGACCATTTGAATAAAAAACACACAAATAGCTATGTGATCTATTTCCTACATGGAACAACCATTATAACTTTCTGTTTTCATGTTATTTAACAGAAGACATGCTGTGTTTACTTACATCAATACACCGATAGAGCTTTGAAAGGCAGACAAGCGTCCGTTTCACTGTTGGGTACCACATGCCATGCAGGTCTGCAGGTGAAATTGTATTTTCTGTCCTTAGGGTTAAAGATTCAGAAGAACCTACATGTAAAATAAATGAATAAAGTGTACAGCCACACATGTAAATATCTTAAATCAGTACAATACTAGAAAAGAATAACATAAAGCTAACATGTATCCGTGCACAATGCAATACAAGTACGGTAAAAACTACACTGATGCTATTTGGACACTAAAGTTGCGTAATTTTTAAGGTACAAAAATGAATCCCACTATTAGTGAGAAAGGCATATCTAAATGAACACATTGAATTCCTAGGACTCTGCTATAGCAATAGCCACACTCATCCATAGTTATTAATTTAATGATTCATCTATGATTAAAGCAGTGGAGGCAGATACTGTTTCATAGCAAAAAACATAATTAAAAAAATAAAACATTAAAGAAGTTACAAAAAAATAACCCAGTAAGTTTGAAAAGAAAGAATGTTGGTTATAGCTGTGTAAACTTTCATTCAGTTTTAACTTTCCACACAAAACTACATGCTTTTTCAAAACTATATTTTGACTTTTTTTACTGATTGTTTTGACTAATTGTTTTTTGTTTTGTTTTTTTTAATACAACTGAAAGGCAATTTTACTATAAACACGGCAACGAACAGCTACATAGTGAGTGGTTCTAATTGTCATGGCTCTTTTTGGGACGTGGGGCCAAATTTTTACATTTTTAATTATTAAATATTTTCTGTTTAAGGGCTTTTAAAGTTTACATCCCACTATTTCACGAATTTACTATAAAACAGCCACCATTACTAACACAATAACACGGAAATCTTATATTTTGAGCAAGCTAAAGTACCCATCTGAACAACATCATTGTGTACAGGTAAAAGCTATAGGGAGCATTTAGAAGAATGTTAAACTAACACTCGAGAACATCAAGCAGCATCTACAGCCATGTGGTATTCAAGTGAAAAAGGTTTAAATGCCATTACTATGGAAACGCCACATCAAATATGACTTTTAAAGAGACATTTTAAAGAGATATTGATACACCTGCCTGGTAAGCCATCTTTCATTTTTAAGAGGACAGTAAGATGGAAATCATGTTAAAAGAAATGGAAAATAAACAAGGGTAATCCTCTCCTGTTGCATTTAACCCATTCATACCAAGGAATTAACAATTATTAGTCAAGGGATTCGTAGTATATATATATATATATATATATATATATATATATATATATATATATATATATATATATATATATATATATATATATATATATATATATACACATACACACACACACACACACACACACACACTACATGTCTATTTAACTGAGGAGTGAGTGGTACATTTGTTTAGATAAAAATATTTAATCAGTTACAGCAGCTATGTAACCCACATAATACCCCAAAACTAAAACATTACACAATGAAATAAGCATAGAAATAGAAATGAACATACACAATAACATATTGCTGCCAAACAGCCAAGCTTATGATGTCCCATTTTAATGCTTCACACATGTATTAAAACATTCCCCCACTCGAAATTAGATTTCATGGGCACCCAGATTAAAGTTATAATCAATCTGACTATTCGATCAGATATGTCAGCCATCAAGACAAGATTTAAACCAACCTACAATAGGAGTGATTTTCATGCAGAACCCAGAAGTATTTCTATAATTACTGTAAAAACATAGCCATCTGGCAACTCACCAACACAAGAGACTTTGCTAGCACAGAACCGAGGTGAGGAAGTAAATACAGCTCTGTGCAGGCTTTATGGCACGGTCGTGCAGACTGTAGTGTTTGAAAGAGTTTCTGTACGATTCATGCACACTACTATACCATGCCAGGCAAACACGCATCAACAAGATACGAGGAACAGCTCAAGCATCTGGTAAGTTCTAAAAACAACCGCAACTTAAGTAATTAGTCAGCCACAGTTCATATATCACCGCCGCCACAGGCTGCTGCTCACCAACTACCAAGGTCACAGCTCAGAATATTGGGCAGATTGTAGCATGTTTCTTTAATAACGTTGTGGCAATATCTATTGAAGACAACATTAATATTATTTGAAACATATAACGTACCACTTTTTATGAGGTTTCTGGAGTCTGGATCCTCAATGGGGACCTCAGAAAATGACGTTTCTGCAGTCTGTAATTTCTTTTGTTCCTCTTTCAGACTCTGTGCAATTTGCTGAACAGTGAAGAGAGCAGGATATGATTAGCACAAAATGCTACAAACAATGACAGAGATGTATAGATTATGTTCCTGCAGTCTCACTGCTCAATTCTCTGTTTAGAAAACAGATAACAGATTCCACTATTGCACTGTTTTATTCTTGTTAAAAAACTTGGTGAGACTGCGCTGAGGCACAGATGTCAGCAGCGGACACGTAACATTCTGCCATACGTGCTTATCGTTTGTTTTTATGAGCTCACACGTGTATATGCCTTGTATCAACATGGATCCGTCTTAGTACTATTGTTTCCAATTATACTGTGATGACGATCGCATCGTGTCTTACCTTGAAATAAAGAATTAAAAAACACAAAAAAAAAAAAACAGATAACAGGCAGCATAACGCTTTATCATCCAAGTTTGCAGTAATGTCCTTGCAGCTTCAGACAGAACAATTATGCAACAAATACAAGAAATGGTACAAAACCATATTTTTTGAAGAGAAACAAATTGTTTTTAAATAAAACTACTGTTTTACAGCTCTAAACATAAAGATCTAAAAACCTACTCTCAAGGAAGCATTAATGAAACAATCTTTAAGTCGCATAAAGAAAACATATCTTAAAACGTGAGGCTCCTTCTGTTTAACTATTTTGTAAGTCACAAAAGACAGCAAGAAGGCACCAATTTAAAAGGAAGACAGCTCAGCTTGGACAAAACTGTGCTTCTTAACCAGGATGATCAGCCACCCAATGGATAAAAGCTGCAGAGACATGGCCTTTACACCATAACTAGGTCAGCAAGCTGAAGTGGTTTTGGTACTAAGAGAGACCCTTTATTTAAAAAGTGTCACTTCTCTGGAATTCCCCTCTGAATAATAACAATGCCCGACAGGAGCCCAAATGTTGGATAGAGAGGTGTAGATTGAAGATCTTTTGCCAGTCTACACTCCCTGTTAAACCTCACAATACAGCTAACAAATTAAGTAAGAAATACAACATGATCTTTAAACTTAAAAACCTAGACTCTTAAATAATATTGATTTCCAAAAGCAATGTTTCCCATGATTGTTACCATAGGATCCCCTCCAGTGATCATAGCACACAAAGTATGAGTCAAAAGAGTACAGTGAAGCCTGGAGACTGCAGTCCATGACAACAGATTTTAAATGAAGAGAGTTATACACTCACAGTTTAGTGGGAATATTATTGTCGATCATGTTTTGCAAAGATAATCAGGATAAAGGAGAGCACAAGAGAATAAAAGAACCATACCTCCATCATTTCTAGCTTCTCGGGATATGCAAGATCTCCAGGAGCTGGTTTATAGCCCAATATGTCCGTCTGTATATATATGTGCGTCCGGTACACAAGTCTCTCTTGAACATCTTCCAACATCTGCTTCACCACAGTAGCTAAGGCACCGAGATGTTCCACTGATGCGGATGAGAAAGAGAAAACAATGTTAAATATTAATTTTAAAAATGGTCAGTGTTCTTGACTTCTGACAATCTGAAATGCTACCAAAATTCTGTTGCCTAACAAATCTCTAAGATGAGCATATATCTTAAACATGGGAGACTTAGCACTAGTACGTTACCATCTACTGCAGTATTAGCAGAAATATCACCTACACAAATTGGATAGAAGCAAAAGGTTTGTTTTGCAACTCTATATCAAGAATTGCATGGAAAGGGGTATCAAATATAAACTGGGAGAAAATCGTGTGAAGGTCAGTCATGATGCATCACAACAAAATGTCATCTTTATTCCTTTCATGACAGGACTACACTCACTCCATCTCTATCCATAACTTTATTCCTGCCCTTTGCATAGCAGTCATTCCTGGCCTCTCCAAAGCTACCAGGAGGGTCACCAAGAAGATTACCATAAATCAATGAGGAAACTACATTACTTGAGATGCTTCAGGACACTCAGCAACTACCACTGGTGTCAGCAAGAGAATAATGCATTTTAAATACGGTCATGTGCCACAATAAGTACTTGGCTGACCCCTGATGACAAACCTTCTCTAAAACAGAAAAGGAAAACACATATTAGATTGAGCGGTAGAGAAATGTTAAAGGCCATAGTCCAAGAAATGCCGTAAAGAAAATATTATAGGGATACTATAAGCATCAATACAGCTTTAGCTTAATAAAGCAGTTTTGGTGTCCAGATCATGCCCCTGCAGCCTCAATGCTCAAATCTCTGCCATTTAGGAAATTAATCACTTTGGTTTCTGTCCATGCGCCCCAGCCACACCTCCCCTGGCTGTGACAGACACGGCCTGCATGACAAAAATGGTTTAGTTTTCAATCAGATGTTAACTTGTATTAGACTTTATCTCCTGCTCTGTAAATTGAACTTCAATCACACATAGGATTTTCCTGCAGACTCTATAAGTTTATTATAACAAAGCAAGAGATAATACATTTTAGATTAAACAGACTGTGCAATAACGTTTAGGAATGATTTGCAAGTCAAATACAGGCTTAAAAAAAGTGATTTAACTCCGAAATGGCAAATAATTAAGCAGTGAGAGTGCAGGGACATGGGCTATACACCAAAACTAAAGTTGTTTTGGTGCTTATAGTATCTATTTAAATGCAGTGTTTTACTGCAATCACTGACAAGCTGTGCCTTAATGCAAACCAGATTAATTTGGAGACCACTGTGACTGTAGAAGGATTCATTTTCTTTAAAATAAAAAAATTAAAAAGACAGAAAACTGGTTCCGTAGAGATATGCATATCATTCATCTGGGTAATCTTGGTCAAACTTGGCTAACCTTAGTAGCACTTTTACATTTCCGTCCAGATATAACTGCTATCACACTCACAGATGTGAGTTAGCATATTTCCCCATGACCCACCAATAAATCAGAATATCATATTTCTGCATTAGCTCAGACGAGTTAGTCAATGTCAAGGAAACAAAGTAGCTGAATTCCAATGTCAAGGAAACAAAGTAGCAAAGTTCCAGCCCTTCTCCTTAAATAAAAAGGTAGACAAGAGGTGGTGAATGTGTTTTTTTCCCACACCTACTGGAAAATCCATGTAGCAGGATTATTTTACACACGATACTCCTTCAGATGCATTCCTACAATATAGGAACTGATGTGTGTTTTTATCACAGCTCTAAAGGATCTTAGTTAGTCTAGCAATGTGATGACTACTGTGGGCACCACAGGTGTTTGTGCACTATAATTCCAAAAATGCTAAGTTAAGATTCAGGAAACATAGATGACAAACATCTGTGCTGCCAAGTTTAATGGTCACCAACCAATGGTTTAGCCAGCCTGGTCTAAATGCTCTGTAGTATTTGAGAAGAGCTGCTAATATACAAGAAAGTGACATATATTACCATTGTTCTGTACGTGGTCTTCTAACATCTCAATTTTAAGGATGCCACAAAGTTCTGACAAGGTTTCTAAATGGACAACGTGTATAATCAGCGGCCTGAGAACATCATACAAAGAAAGGCATAGCTTCCCAAGAAGGTCACTGTAAAAAATAAGAATAGCTTGAAAATGTTGAAATAAATGTAGTACTATGTAATCAATCATCACAAAACCATCAAAGAGATACAAAAGTGATATATGGGATTTATTCACTTCTACCTGTATCCCCCTTTTACATGGATAGACGGCACAATGAGCTCCTGATGTAGTACATAAATCTCTAGCTATACCTTATGTCCATCTACGTTCATGTTATATATGTATTAACACCATAATGTGGAGTTATCACAATGACAATAGGAAATTGAGGACATCAGACATAAAGCGGAGTAAAAAATAAATAAAATAGGCATTTTTATGATTTCTAGCATATTTCCTCAAATAGTTTATCTTTAAAATAAAATTTAAAAAAAGGAAACGGTAGTATACATAAAAACATATCTTGAAAATACCCTGAATATCTTTTTTCATATATCATGTCACCAACATAGTAATGCATGATGACCACAATAATCTATCTTCAATGTCACTTCCATGCAAAACAGTGTACATGAGTGAAACCCTTTAATATGTATTCTCATGTAAATGTGAGAACATCAAGCAAAGATGCCAGAAGCTGCATGGACAAAATGGCTCAAATGTTAAGAGTATGAAACATTTCAAATCTGGCAAGATATCCATAACTACTTGTATGTGGATTGTGCATGAAATTAACACATACATCTCTCATCTTTCTTCTTGGGTCGTGTCATTAAAGGCAACTGTAACGTGTGAAGATGTTTAATATTAGGTTTACCTATTCCCTATATTTAGCAAACACGTGTTATGAGATCAGAAAAATTTAATTAAATGTAGGAACCACACTAACCTAAAAGAAATGGGCTCCTCCACCTCAGGACCCTGACAATCATTATAATTATTAACATTGCCTTTTTGTGCCACTGACCGCAGTTTTTCCAGCATCTGAGCTCCTTGGACACTCGTCCTTCAGAAAGGGTTCTACCATTAACCCTATGCAACGAGCTTGCTACATTTCTCTAAATTTTTACTTACATTTTTTGTTTAATCCAGTCAATCTATGAATTATGACTAATATCTTAAATATAAGGCTCAAAAGTTGTTCTTTGGAAAAGCTTATCTTTCATTACATTAACTTGACTTAACTGACTCATTTAGTTGTAAAATCCTAGTCTCCAACGTATCTATATATTTAGATTTCGCATATATACAAAATTTACCACATACTCCAATTTTGGTGTTGGTTTAGTGAAAAACTCATTATAAAGCTGGTGCTCATCTTGACATACATGGACCATGAAAGCACAGCCGCTCCGCACCTGGGTGAAAGAACAGAATTAGGGATTTTAAAGAAATTGTGGCGGTGTGAGTTGCATATTAGTTTTATCACATTAAACATGCTTATTACAGTTTGAATTGTAGAATGTACTTCACATTTCAAGTTTTTTTTTGGCTGTGCATCGATTGTACATGTATGCTTGCAGTGCCACAACAACTGGTGCAGTCTTTTCCATAGACATAGAGAAATATTTGTATGGCATAGTAACATTGCACATTTTTATAATTTAATACAGGAATATAGGAACAAGCTAAGTCTAAAGAGGCTATGGTGGGTTATGCAAACCTAGTTAGGATTCATATGAACGTTGCTACACATAGCCCTATAGAATATTGGAAGTGTATGAAACATGCTTCTACTGAAGTTGTCAGTTAATAGGAATACTGAATAGTACAAAACCACACTATACAGGCTGACTGCTAAGTCAGTAGTAGAATCTTTAAAAAAAAAAAAAAATGTAAAAAACGAGTTCTGCTTGCATGACTAACTGTTAATGCAGGACTTAACTATGATGTGCATAGCTTTTGCTAAACAAGAAAGATAAACCTAAGCACTAGGTGTACGTGTAACAGGAATAAACTATAGTAAAACAGTTCGGCGGTGGAAATGCGTGAGATGGATCCACTGTGGCTATCCCAACACCCCATCACTCACAGCACAAAATGAACTGGAGGGGAGGATTAAAATAGATTTTAAAATAAAAGAACAAGATATAGCATATCTGGATTGTGCATCTGGCCTTAGAATGGGAGTTGAGGGCTGCCACCTAAGAGAGCCAAGGTGGTTCATGTGGGCAGTAGGGGCTTGACACAATGGAGAGTCCTGGTTCAGTCGTTTTTCTCGCTTGGAGGGTAAGTGTAAGGAACCAAGGGGTCGCTGGTGGTAGCTTCTCTGCGGTATTGAAGCAGGACAACGCCGATACCCCATGCCAGAAGTAAAGCCAGCACCATGGAGCCATTGACTTGGAAGCTTGAGTACTCCAAGTCCTTTCCCTGTAGGGGAGAGCGGACGGTCGCTGCAGGAGTTGTAGGTCCGCACAGTGAGGACCGGGATGAATCCCGCCAGTGCAAAGAGGAGGGGGAGGGGGACAGGTTTTGGACATGACTCAACATTTTAAAACTAAAAAAATACAAATAGTCGGTTTAGAGAAAGGATCCAGTCAGGTCTAAAACAATGCTGCTACCATATTGATGGACTAAGCATGCAAGTGCCCTCAGATTGTTTAAGATTGTATATTTCTATGTGTGGATTACCAGGGAAACCATTATTAAAACGGGTGTTTTGCTAAGGGACTGTCGTTGTATCTGTATTGATCCCATAAGCACTTGTTGTGCAGAACTCCAAATGAAGGTAATGCAGCGACAACGAAGTGGCTGAATGTTAGAATGATACGGAGGGATTTTTAAAATATGATTCTTCAACAAAACAGCATCTGCGGTAATTATTGCAACGTTGGGTTTTGTTTTTGACTTTCTGTAAACTTTTAAAGGATACCGTATATCTTTTCGTAATCTAAAAAATACTCAAAAAGAATTAAAAAAATAATAATAATAATAATAATAAAAAAATATGTGTGTGTGTGTGTGTGTATATATATAAGAAATTGCTTACCACAAAGGGGCTTTGTTATCCAAAACAAATGCTGTTAAATCAAACCAAATATGCAGCTTGGAACCCCAGAGCTTCACATAAGCAAGTCAATGAATGATAAAAGCACATGTAACTCCTTTTGAGGTTTTGGTCTTTTTATGCTACACTGTTTAACGGTTTGTAATAAAGAGCATTGAACAGATAACAGATGTACAGAGTATTACCAAAGCACAATGATCCCGGGTGTTCTGGCTGGTCAGCTCCGTTATTGTGGTAGTGATACTCGGACTCAACAAATTCTCTCGCTGATCCAGGTAGCACTGATGGATTTCATCTAGAAGCTGCTGGTAGCTGAAAAAGTAAACTAAAATGAAATTACCTGCTCTTTAAACAACACTAACAATCACAGGTATCCACGTTTCCGCTTTTTTTTTTTTTTTTTAAATAATATGAGATGTATAATATGTGAGCCTACTACAACGGTGATGTTTGTTAAAAAATCAGTTAAAAACACGGTGATTAATTTGTCCTTATGATAAATAATCAGCTTATGTCAGGTGATTAAAAATGGTCTCTCTCAAAGGGTCTAAAGGTGATTTTAGTTGCCAATTGACAAATGCAGAACGTGGAAACAATGAGGTGGTGTCTTGTCATGTTGTCGAAAGACAAAAGATGCAAGTGGACAGCAGACATCATGTAGCAGCCTGCAGCTCCTATCTGTACCACTATTCCTACTTATGATAAGGGATGAGAAAAGGAAGAGGACAAATTAGAGAGGAGATCCATCATGTTGCAGGCTGCAACTTGTATCTGTAGCCATGAACAAACAACAAATAGATCGAGTGGAGTGGGAATCGGCATGCAGCAGACCACATCACTCAATATGAAGAAATAAAGTCTCTGTATCTGGCTATGCACCTTGCTTAAGGCCGGCTTCTTACAGACTCAAAATAATCCAACAGAAAAAGAGAAACAAAACAACAATCTCTAATTACCTAAAAGTAAATAAATAAAAATCCAAATGTGAATACCATTAAAGTTATGGCAAACCTAAGAAGCATGCACGACAGCAGGTACTCACATCCACAATTATTTAAATGGATAATATTTCTATCCACATAAAAATATTGACACCAATACTCACTCTGGTATCTTCTCAGCTCGTTGTTCCATTTGCTCTATCAGTGTCTAAACAAGGAGAAAAATATTTCCTCAATAAGGTATAAAACTGATATGTAGTAACTGAAGAGCAATAGATACAATTAACAGTATTACTTTAACGATAGATATTTTGCCAATATGTTCCCCTTGAGTACTAAAGCAAGTGGAAACAATTCTGACAAAATCCCATACTACCTATTTCGATATTGCACCCTCACATCACCCCTCCCTGTGCTTCCACCCAAGGTGAGGTCAGCTGGAGGCAGGGAGCGGAGACAGTGAATAATCTACTGCAGGGTTTCCCAAAGTGAGGGTCGTCTGCTGATTCCCAGTGGGTCGCGCCTTCAGGGCCGCCGGCTATGTGACTGTCAGGCAGACTGATTAGTCAAGATCTTGGCCCGTGACTGCGGGCCCGAAACTAGGAGGGGACCCGGCAGCTTGCCCTCTATGCCGCTGGTTCCCTCCATCATTCTGCCCGAGAGAGTGCCCACGACCTGCGCTCTGTGTGATAGATGACTGGCGAGCTCCCAGAGCATAGCCCACCAGACCACCAAGGAATTTATTATATTAAAAATAAAGGTAGGACACAGTCTGTGTGTATCGCTGTGTCAGTGTGTGTATGTGTGTATATGTATATGTCTTGTGCGTGGAAATGTAAACACTGCACACAAATGCACACCTGCTTTAAAACACCAACAGTCACACACATACTCCATACAAAAACATGCTTACATTCAAAAACACATTGTGTATATTTTATATACACAATACATACACTGCATCCACTACACACGCACTGCAATCAAACACAAATATTACATACAAACACACCCCTGTATTAAAACACTAAAGTTATATACAAACACCCCTTCATTCAAACACCAACACTACACACAAAAAGCACACCTGCATTTAAAGTCATACACTACATACAAATACCCCTGCATTCACATGCAAACATTACACACAAGAACACCACCACATTCCAATGGAAACAGTACATACAAATACACCCATACATGCACACATATACTTAATACAAAAACATGCTTACATTCAAACGCCCAAACACTGCTCAAAAATTCAACCCTGCAACGATGGGCAAATGGTAGATCCCCAGCTGGCATAGCATTGTTAAAGTTCTCCGACAGATGGGCATCTACATTTTGTCCACACTTGCACTAAAGGGGGGCCTTAAAACATACTTGCACCAGAGTCCTCTCTACATTAGTTCCACCACTGGGACAATCAACGTGAGTTGCGTGGATGAAAGAGCGGGACACAGCACTACTGATTGTGACAGATTCGGTGAGTGAGCAGTTGTATGCCTCTAAAACAGATTGCCATTATATGCAAAGTTTCTGCCTCTAAAACTGCCATGATGTGCCAATTGTATGCATCTAAAGCTGCCATGATGTGCCAACTTTATACATCTAGGACTGTTTGCCGTAGTGTGCCAATTATATGCTTCTAAAGCGGATTGCCATGATGTGCCAAGTTTATGCATCTAAAGACAATCACAATGGTGTGCCAAGTTTGTGCATTTAACGTTGCCATGATGTGCCAGGTTTATGCATTTAAAGTCGCCATGATGTGCCAAGTTTATGCATCTAAAGCGGATTGCCATGCAGTTCCAATTGTATACCTCAAACTGATTGCCATGGTGTGCCACGTTTATGCATCTAAAACTGATTGCCATGATGTGCCAACATCTAAAGCAGCCTTGATGTTCCAATTGTCTGTCTGTAAATCTGATTGCCATGGTGTGCCAATTGTATTCCTCTAAAACTAATTGCCATGGTGTGCCAATTGTATGCCAATTGTATGCCTCTAAAGCCGATTGCCATGGTGTGCCAATTATATGCCTCTAAAGCTGATTGCCATGGTGTGCAAATTGTATGCCTCTTAAGCGAAAAATTACAGTTTTCAAAAGTGGGTCTCGGCCTATAAAAGTTTGGGAAACCCTGATGATCTGCAATGTACTGGACTGGCCAGAAAGGTGACAATCTGCATAATTATGACGCCTATCACAGAGTGATTATACTTCGTCTAACACCGAACAGACTATGCCCATCACTGAATGATTAGGTCAATAAATTACAAAATTACAAAAAAGGAGTTTGACAATACTTACTCTGACCTTTGGGGCCGCTGCTCGAAATTTAACATAAAACAAAGTAAAGGCATTGTCTGAATTGGGAGCATTTGGTAAATCGTGCTGAAATAGATAGAATAATAAAAAGAATGTAATTACATCTGAAACATTTGCCTAAAGAGTCTAAATCACACAATAAGCTGCAAAGCTATGGAAGTTACAGAAATCCTGTTTTCTAGATATGTTTTGCAATTTGGGCTTTATTCTTGGAGGAGTGTATGTATGCAACTAGCAGGAAGGCTGTGACCTGAAGATGTGAAAACCCATCTTCATTTGTTGATCTTGTAAGGGGAACTTGAAATCTGTAGTCTAATTTTGACATGTCTATCCTGCTCCCTCTCCACCAGGCTATACTAAACACAAATGGTACTGAGAAATGACAATGTAACATAGCATTCTCTGTCTGACTTACAAGAGGGAGCATGGAAGAAGGAAAGACCGTTCTGTCTCTGGGGACACGGTCCCCATTAGCTCACCAAAGATAGTAGCCTAGATCTCACTCCCACCCCTCTAATATATAAAGGAGCTGTGAGCAGGTCGGAGCCAGCAAAAGACAGGAAGCTGTAAATAATGTGTTCACACACAATGATATTCAGAAACGTTGCCCATTTTAAAAAGATGCTTATGTGATTTTTCTTTTAAACATACTCTATTACTGTACAAAAACACTCTGTGGGTTTATCTGTGCTATGTATGCTATTTAAAAAAAATTTACAAATTAAATGGATCTATAGACAATGCTGCACTAGGCTCCTGCCTATCTCCAAAGTAGCTTTAATGTAACGCTGACCAACCTATATCATAAAAATACTGCTCACTAAGAAAACTCACCAAATAATCATTTAAAATAACTATTCTAGCTCATCATACCACATTACTTTATACCATTCTCCCTTCAAAACCTTTCATTGGTTAAAACGTTTATGATATCAGATTGCACTAGACAGTGGTTTCCAAAACACGAGACACATTTACAGCATTCAGACATGGGAGACTGGAACTCACCCTTTTAATGAGCTGGTTGGTGAGGTTCTGCAGAGTGTTCACAGTGTAGGTCTTCATAAGTTGCATAGCTTTGGAAAGACATTGTTTGAACTTTGCCAGGTACACAGGATAATCTTTATAACTAGGCTGAAGAAATTACAAACAAAATGCTTACAAGTGTACCATTTATATTCACACATGCTCTGGTTTAGGAAACAAATTGACTACTACAGGCAGACTTTCCTTGTTTTGTTCTCAGCATAACAACATTATTAATAAATCAATATAAATGTATACAAAAAAATAAATAAACTTTATTATGTGTGAAGGCATAATCATGGCCACAAAATTTAAATAAATTACACAAATGTGCTTCTGTTATTGTCAAGGATTCACAGAATTGTGGACAAAGTTAGAAATTCAGCCAGAGCACAATAGGTACTGGCCAAGAAATATTGGAAAGAGTACTAACCAGCTCCAATTACAAAAATAATTATAAAGATTAAAGCGTTCTAATCACTGTATACTATGATTAATTAGTATATAACTGTTCTATAATTAAAGGACCACTATAGTGCCAGGAAAACATACTCGTTTTCCTGGCACTATAGTGCCCTGAGGGTGCCCCCACCCTCAGGGTCCCCCTCCCGCCCGGCTCTGGAAAGGGGAAAGGGGTTAAAACTTACCTTTTTCCAGCGCTGGGCGGAGAGCTCCTCCTCCGATCCTCCTCTTCTCCTCCCAGTCGGCTGGCTGCGCGCGCATTCAGCCGGTCACATAGAAAAGCATTCATAATGCTTTCCTATGGACGCTGGCGTGCTCTCACTGTGAAAATCACAGTGAGAAGCACGCAAGCGCCTCTAGCGGCTGTCAATGAGACAGCCACTAGAGGAAATAGGGAAAGGCTTAACCTATTCATAAACATAACATTAAGCTGAAGTGGTCTGGGTGCCTAGAGTGGTCCTTTAAAAATGGACACTCCAAGCATCATTACCCTTATAGCCAGCTGTAGTGGTTATGATGTTAGGAGGACCCTGATGGCGTTCTTCAGCAATGGGGCAAACCGTTTGCCTCTTACCTTGTTCACACAAAGTCTTGTGGCATCTCTGCAGAGCTACAGAAGTCAGATGCCAATTCTGCTGCTCATTCATTGGCTCATCGCTCGGCCAATGAATGAGCGTTTGTGCATGGAACTGTGAATGCACAGAATTGATATTAGCCAGCCTGGCACTCTTGTTTTGTGCTTGCTAATGACACCCGAAAGACACTGCAAGAGGTGGAGTTACACATCCAGTAGCAATGGACTATATCTCAGAATGTGCAGCGTTTCTTAGCAAACTGCTGCACATGCAGACTCCGAGCACAATGACCACTTCAAAACACTAACCTGGCCTTATCATGAGATTAATAGGTTTAAAACAGCAATTTAAAAATGTAAAAAAATATAAATACTTGCACAATGATCACATTATCATGGTTATTCACTAAATTAAGAATTGTGGGGAATTTTAAGTGAATTAAAAATTTATGGCCACAATAGAAAAAAATAAAAGTATTACAGACCCTGAGATGTGTTTTTATTTTTTTAATTTTGCCCTAAATTTTGAAATTCACTTTGAATTCCCAGCAATTCTCACTCTAGTGAATAACCCTATAAACGACTTTTTGATTACTACTGCCACAGACTTAAAACACAAAAATTAGTAATAGTAATTTTGTAGTGCATTTTTTTCCTTTTCAGTTTATGATCATGTCTCAAAATGTTCTAGTTGCCCTAAATGCGCAATAGTGGAACATGCTCATTACTGTTTGTACTAGACTCATTCTTTAAATATATGTTCCTAAATGCATATCAGTTGAATAAGGTCTTTGCCTCAAGGTAACCAAGCCAATATAAATACTGGACAATTACTTATTTTACCAACCCCACCAATAATTAAATAATAAAAATCTTATATTATATATTGACACAGAGAGAGAATAAAGTAGTACAAAAAATATGAAAACTCCACTCACGTGTGATGAAATATAAAAAATGCAGTCATCCAACTTTGCAAGCATAGGAATAAAACCTTCGCTATTTACAGATAACGTAGGAGAATTTAATTTCTGGAAAAAAAAAAAGAACAGGGTTCACTCAATTTCACAAACAAGATCAAGAAATTAGTTCAGGAAACATAATAAAGTAAATCCATGTATATGCATATTCTGCTTGCTAAAAACACATTTATTATTGTGCATGTTAAAGGGGAACTGTCACGTCTCTGGAATGTACACCACTGACTAAAATTAAAAATCAACCATAACTTGTGTTAACTTTTTTTAGTACTATACAATTACAGTGCACTTTATCAATATAAAAAAATTAAAAACAGCCCTTCAATTTCCAAGATAAGAAAGTTCTGTATTTCTGTTATTTAACTTCTGCCATTTAAATTCAAGCATGCGTTAAGTGATTAAATAAGAGAATGAACATTAGTTCACTAGAGCAAATAGAAAAACTCAATAATTAATAAGAAGACTATGAACTCTAGTGATCGTTGCCACTATAGGGCATTGTAGTGTTTATGCTGCCTTGGCTTCATCAGGGACTCTTAGCAGGAACAGTTTTACGCTTATATTGTTGTGTTAGTATCCATAGGTTGAATGTCAGCTGACAGCTCTCAGACAATGAATACTATTTACAGTGTCCCTTTTGTTGTTGTAAACATTAGATCTGCATTTCATTTATGTGTTCTACTTCTGTGTTCCATTAAGGAACTGAAGTATAAGTAGCACATGTATTAAAATATATTTTAAAACACTATTTCCTTTCACCAAAAAGGAACAATTGACAAACCCCAGGTAGCTGCTGACTATAAATGGTTCACCATCTAAGCAGTAATTCTACTGAAGATACTATTTTGGACTACACTCACATCATACATTTTGAGTATGTAAAATTATTTGTCAACTTCTGATCTCAAGCATAAATATTAAACACACATATTTTATTTATTTATTTATATATATATATATATATATATATATATATATATATATATATATATATATATATATATATATATATATATATTATATATACACACACACACACACACAAAATAATACAGGAGCAAGTGTGACAAATAATTGTGAAGATCACTTTCCACATAACATATAGCATTTTTGTCTATATTTGGATGTGATTAATTGGCCGAGACTGCCAGCTGATTCTCTTAGCCAATGAATGCATCACTAATGTAGGAACTTTTGCATTAATGGCATCACAAAAAGAGGCTGGATAAGGGCCAAAACATCAGAAAACAGGTTGATTGCCAGAGCCAGCATAATCACTACAGCCCCTATAATGTGAAGACTGTCCATTTAATTCCTTATGATGCTCACCCAGTCTTTCTGGAACCATGGAACAAAATGTTCACAAAAATCTGGGGTGGCAAAATTGGCCATCACTCTCCAAGACAATGAATTAGTGTATGTTGCAGAAGTGCACAGAATATCTCATCTTTTAAGGTAGAATGGATCACATCTAGTTGAAGTGTACTAGTGATTTTATTTATTTAATATGCAAAACTTCCCCTCTACAAGTTGTTCTCATTTTCCCATTAAAAGTCAAACAATCAAGACATATCTTAAGATTGTAAATGTGGTAAAGATATTCATTGAACATACTCACAGTGTTTATATTTTCTAATTCATTAAAATAAGAAAGCTTCTGTTGAATATTTTCAGCGAGATCAACAAGCTCTGACTGAGGAAAAGAAAGAATGAACAATTATTTTTTTTGGGGGGGGGGGAGGAATAAGAATATAAAAAAAACATTAATGGATATCTACAAAATTTAAGCACTTTCTATGCATCCAACGAATACTGAATCTAAAGAACAGTATTGATGTTACACTTTATTAATCCACATTAACAATTTACAATGAAATCATTTCTTGCTTTGTTAGACTAATTATAGATGCATTATACCCAGATGACAACTTTTTTTCGCTCTACTATGGTCGAGATCCTGTCTGTAGAATGAAAGTATAAGGAAGGTAAGGCACGGCACTGCATATTTATTTTAGTCAATATTCATTTTGTACTAAAGTAACAAAATGCAGTTACAAAACACAAAGAATAAAACAAATATAAAAAGGTTGCGTGCTGTGAGCAATCCACACCAAAGAAAATGTATGAGGTGCAAAACCAACAGATGGCTCTGTATTTCTCAAACATAGCTAAAATAAAACAGATTTCAAATATGAAAACTCTACACATGAATTTAAAGAAGTGGGTATGGTAGAAAAGGAGGCAGGAGACTGCTCTTTATACAGTGTATGCCTTGCAAGCTGATGCCAAAACGTCAAGAATGACAAGATAATGAATGAATTCATACAAGCATGCATTCATAGGGCAATGAGGTGTAGTAACTTGTAAAATGCTAGCCAAACTGGGGGAGGGGAGTATTCCAGGGATGGAGTATTTGTAGGTTTACAGAATAAACCCAATTAAAAAAAAAAACCATGTAAAAAAAATAAAAAAAAATCCAAAATGAACAGATGCAAAGCAAACCCTTTTTCTCAACCCAATGCTGAACTATTATTTTGATTTTTTTTGTGTGAGACATAAAATATTAGAGTTGAGCTCAATCTAACACTAATTTTTTCCATATTTCTGTTAGATTACTAGCCCCCTGTAAAAAAAAAAGGGGGGTTTAACTTACCTAAAAGAGACACTCCAGATCCCTAAAGCACTTCACTTTAGCTTTCTGAAAAGCTTTATATGTGAAGTGTTTCCGCTTTTCTTTTCATTTTGCTAAAAGTGCAGTTTTCAATAGAACATGGAACCTATATAAATTAACCTGGTTACACACCACTGGCTTTTAATCAGAAAACAGGTCCTGTTACTTCCTGGTTTGGATAGCTATGGGGAGTTAAATGTAAGATGTAGCAATTACCCACAGTAGCTGGCTTGCAAAGACTTATTTTTGAGATGCATTGGTAAGCCTGTGGATTGGACAGCCACAGAAAATCTGGTCTGGGTTAGTAGGGGCTTGCAAAAGCTACAGACAAGAGAAATGCAGTTTTGCAAGAGGATTTTAGAGATAACCCCACTAAAGAAATGCATAATAAAAAGCACATGTTGTATTTTTGGGTATATCCACTAAACAGAGATTCTTTGTTTTTATTTGGGCAGTGGAGTGTCCCTTTAACCAGCACCAGGACAAAATCCACAGTGCAGCCTAATCATCAAGTCATGATGCATTACTTTTGGCCAATCGAATGTTTCTTAGAGAAGCATTAAAAATACACAATGCAATACATAAACCAATACAATGTGTCTCTATGGGAAACACAGAATAGATTGCTTCTCTATGATATGCATTGGATGCACAAGGCACCTGGCATTAGTACATTTTACATGCTGACACAGGACATCAAGTAGTAGGAACGGTAACTGGAAAACATAAAGGGTGCAGTTTCTTAGAAACAGACAGCAAGACCATAGGGCAGAATCTATTACACAAAATCACATTCCTGACACTATAGTTCTAGTAGTGCTGTTAATACCCTCGGTCCACCCTTGTCCCCTGTTAAAAAGGTGATTTACACACCTCTTTCCAGCGCAAAATGGGGTCTCCTTGCAGCTAGCTCCACCCTCTTGAACATTAGAAGTCTGTTGCGCTGCACCAATCAGCATCTCCTCAGAGAGATACATTGAATCAACGCATCTCTATGGGGACCGTTCAGTGCTTCCACACAGAGCGTGGAGACACTAAACGTCAGTGTTGAACATTGTGCAGAACTGACCCAGGAAGCACCTCCAGTGGCGGTCTGAGAGACTGTCACTAGAGATGTTCCTAGGCAGCAATGTAAACACAGACTTTTCTCTGAAAAGCCAGTATTTACATCAAAAGGCCTGCAAGGACATTAAGCTGTAGTTGTTCTGGTGAATATAGTGTCCCATTAAGAGAAGTGATATAGTACTTGTTAGAAATATCCCTTTAACATGTAAAATGTAAGAAAAGTTTAACTTTAAGAGACATTGAAGGAAATGCAAATTATGCAGATTATTGAAATCTGTTCCTTACTTCAATAACTTTAGATTTGATATCACCCCATAAATAATAAATGGGAAATTGGTAATTAGAGATAGTTGGCGCACACACAAATTTCAAACTACATATTAAAGATACACTCAAACATAAACATTCTGAATAACAGCAGAATAGAGAAATAGGGTGCAAGATGAGACTCTTTGGATGTGATAAGAATTACTACAACACATTGTACTGCAGTGAAGGTGGACAGACAGAGCAATAAAATATACCTGTTCTTTTAGAAGCTGTTCACAGGCTTCGTGTAACGTCCCTGTTTTCGTAGACACAAAAAGGTATTGCTTCTGCAGAGATTCCAAATGTTGCAGAGCAGTGTTCACATCATTTAATATAGCATCACACTGCTCCTGAAATCCAGAGAGGTAATCTCTCATGTCTCTTTAAAGGGATCAATAAAGGAGGTATAGGTGAAAAAAAAAAAAAAAAACATAAGCAAAACACATTTCTTCAATATTTACACACTCCTGAAATCATAATTGCCCTTTTTCACTAAAGTTTAACTAAACATTAGATGGACAGACAAGATAGAGCACTTTTGTCCCACACACTCTAAGCCTCTAGACGTTTTAACATTCCCTAAACACCAAACCGCATGTACCACTGCATGAGGGTACACTGTGCCACTACAGTACTAGGAACTGAAAAATAGATTCCCACATAAAACTTAAAATGCACCCTTTAACATTCCGGGTTGTCTATTTCTGCAAAAAGTATGTGTTTATCAAGAATGTAAATTGATAAGTAAATAAAACAATAATGTATAGTCAAGCACAATGTAAATTCCTACAGTGAAAGCTTCACTTCTACAACTTAGATAGATATATATCTAATAGCACAACAGCAAGATGAGTAAAACTTTTTTTTTTTTAGATTTTACATTAATAAGATACTAAATTACTAACTAAAAAAAAATTAAGCATTTACCTGTATTTTGCACCTTCATCCTGATCCATTTTGGTCTGTAGCTGTGCAAACCATGAGAAAAACTGGAAGAAAAGAGATTGCATGTTAGATCACTGAAGCCTGTCAGTGAGTCTATGGCCTCCCCTTGGACTACAGACAACATAATTCTAAGGCACAATAAGTCATATTCTTTTCAATTATAAAAGTTGGAATATATAAATTCCAATTAGTAGCATGTTTTTTTATTGATCCAAACCACAATGGGATGAATAACTCTGGATCAGCCAGGCTTAGCCCTATGAAGACATCCAGCTTCTGCTGCAAGATAAGGTTGGATGTGGTGCATGCAACTCAAGATAAGTTCTAAAATAGCTTGATGAATTTCACTGGGACATGGAACAGGGCACTCCTGTTTCATGACCACTACAGCATACTAAAGTTTTAATAGAGCTTGGAGAGTTGCTTTAAATTATCAGTTTGATGGGGTCAAGAATATTCCATCTATACGGTTTACATAGAATGATAATCGCAGATAATTGCACAGGTTACACATCTAAGGGAAACAATGCAAGAAGAGATCTGACGCTTACTTGCTGGGCGGTTTCAATCCGGTCATCATCCATTCCCAGCGCAGAGAATCCTTGCAGGAGAATGCCATCTGTAGATTCAGGGACAGCTGAAGATAAAGGGACTGTCAATGCTCTGGAAGTCAAACTGCATAAATCCTCAATCGGAAGCTGAAAAAAAATAATATAAGTGAATAAGCAAGTCTGTAAAATTACTAAATCACGGAATCACAGAGTCGGTATTCATACTCATGAATACTCCATACAACAAAGTACACATTCATGTGGAGTTTTAAAAGGAGCCTTGTGAGAAAAGTAGAGTCTTTCATATTTGTTCGGAACATGCTTCATATGAAAACTAATTTAAGCTATGGTTATTGAACAGCCCCAGCACCCTGAGGTATTCCATTGCTCTCCAAATTTTTTTATTTTAATATATATATATATATATATATATATATATATATATATATATTGAACACTTCTTAAAAACAGCCAGGTATGTGACTGCTCTAACAGTAAGGAAAAGCAACCTGAAACAAATATTTATACTACAGACAGACTGTCCATCCCCGGAGCATAAAAATACCTGTACATGTTAAAAAAGACATTGTTTTATTAATATTCTAAATGGGGAAATAGAAACTCAGCATGGGTCACTAAAATCTGCTGTTTAATGTATAATTCTGAGGAGGGGGACTGTGACCCTATGGTGTCTGTCCTATAAACACTGACAATAATGGTTTATAAACACTGACAATAATGCTTTATAAACACTGACAATAATGGTTTATAAACACTGACAATAATGCTTTATAAACACTGAATTACCATAACAGGTCACACACGTGTTTGCTCTAGCAGTATAAAGTGCCAGCATCCTGGACCTGCACACTGAGACCAGCTGGACCAACTAACATCCAGCCTGAGCCCTGAGCCCTGGAGCTGTCATGGTGCCCTCTCACCTCTGCTGGGACTGGCAGGTCCTCCACGGCCGCCTTGATCTCCAGCACCGAGTCTACTTGTCTCTCTGTGAGCGGAGCCAGCGGTTCGGCCTTCCGATCCCATAGTGACAGCTTCTCCCGGGCCTCCAGTTCCTCTGGCCCAGTTGCCATCATCATCAAGACTGTGGATTAGAGCAGCCACAGCAGCACTGAGATCCGCTTCCGGGATCCTGAAACCTGACAACACAGAGCAAGCGAAGGGGCGGGTCTCCCAGACCCGGAACTACTTTCACGGCCTGTCAACATACTGACCAATCAAACTGACAGGGGAAAAATCAGGACCAATAGAGAGACAGCAGCTCAGGGATGTCACGTGACTCTCGTAGAATCAGAGCTGTAAACGGTAAAGGCAGCAGCGCTGGTGATAGTTTAGAACCTCAGCCCCCTCTACGTAGTGCATACAGTCGGCCATCTTGCCGGAGACAGAGTGTTGTGTGAAGGCTGATGTGACGTCTATGGCGTTTAGAGCTTTAGTTCCACGCCAGCAGGATGGGTTGGCCAGGGGGTGGGATTGTCAGGGTTATTGATGGGAAATGAAAGTGAACTGAACGGGTTAAATGTATTAAACCTTGCATTGTAGTGACCAGAACTCTGAATGATAAATATAGGTTAAACAATAGCTGATTAGGAAAAGATTGTATAGTCACACAATTGTAGACCAAAATAATTTTAAAGAGAAATTATAGTGCCAGGGGTCCCCCTATCTGGTGCCCCCTTTGGGGCAGAGCAGGTTAAAACCCCTTCTGTCATATATCGGAGTCCAATGCCAAAGTCCCTCATTGCTGGCTTGTGTTTTGCCTCTATAATGCCTTCCTATGGGGTTTTGGGTGACGCTGGACATCCCCGTGTGTAGTGCGAGGACGTCCAGCCAAAAGTTGCCTAACAACCCGTAAGTCCCTCTAGTGCCTGTGTTATATCCGAAATCTATGTCTATCAGATTTCTATACTGATTTGGTTATTTGTATTATATTGAGTGGTCATTGCGAGTTTTATGCAAACTAGCGCTATGTGCTGGTCCTGAGTTACAATAAAGTGGTGTGTGTTAGTTCCTTTTGGAACTAACTGTGTCTCTTGGTTGATTTAGCCATGGATCCCAGTAACCCAGGCTGGCTGCTTGATCCCTGCATTCCAGGATGTATTTATAAAGAGAGCCAGGGCTGAGAGCCAAAAGTGCCTTTGTAAAGGCAATAGCTGATCACAGTCTAAGCAGGGGTTTGGATATCTGCCTGGGAGAGGAACAGTAGAAGCAAAGGCAGAGGGTATAATACACGCCTTGAAGCATAGAGCTGCAGCCTGGTCGGGTGTAAGAGTTCCTGAGAGACCCCTGTCAAGCTTCGGTGACTGGGGCTGAAGCGTTCCAGGGTCCCTGATTGTGGCTAGGAAGCGGAGTGGGCGAAGGTACTCAGTCAGAGGTCGAGAGCTCTGTCACTGTGGAAATGAACAAGTAGAATCTTGCTCTTATCTGGATTCAAGATCATGATGACCCCTTCTTTTTTTTTTTTTGTACCTTCTTTTATTACTAGTCTTAACAGTCCAGTTTTTCTGTATTAAATACTGGTATTGTGCCCTCACTCAGATTCTGTTGTATGTAAATATAACATACATGAGACGTATTGTTATATGGACCCTATGTCACTTATTTTTTTTTTTAACATACTGATGTTTTTTTATTTTTGTATCTGCTAACTATTTTGTGATTATATTTGTGTGACTTTTATGAGATTTATTTTTATTTATTTATTTATTTTTTTAAAGTTTTTATTGAAGCATTGCAGATAATACATTATACATCAAAGTAGTGGTTGGTCCGCAGGACCGGATTGACAGGCTTTTGAATCAGTACAATTGTGCCTTACAATTTGACCATTACAGGAGTTGTTTTTTCATAACAGTGAGTGTATGTGTTGCAGCCGCAACCAGGCTAATCGGAGTGTGCCTGTTTGTTAGGATAGTCTGTGTAGCTTGAACTGTCCCTGGAGTCTGGTGTGGTGGTGGTACCATAATGTGATTGTGGGTTTTGCATGGTATTCTGTTATGGATCTATGTCCATGTCATACTATATCGTTGACTTTTGGGTCAACCCCTTGCCTGTCTTGATGTGGGGTAGCAGGGAGGGGGGGGGGAGGATTAGGGCCTCGCTTGGCTCTTAGATGGGTGAATTCTGCATAAATAGGATCCAAGGATCCAAGGTGGATGTGTAATGTTGATATTGGTGTGATAGAGAGTAGCATGTCTCTTCAAGGCTTCTAATGTTTTCTACTTTTTGTATCCACTCTCTCATAGTGGGTGCATGTGGTTTTTTCCAAAGAGCTGGGATGAGCTGATTCGCTGCCGTGACTAGGTGTATGAGCAGAGTTTTTTCATATTTCGATAGGTCTTGTGGAGGGAGAAGGAATATGTACGTGTCTGGGTGTAAAGGGACTTGTTTCTGTAGAACCTCGAATATCGTGCCTGCAACTCGCGTCCAGAATCTTTGGATCTCTGGACACGTCCACCATATGTGTGTCGTTGTGCCTCTTGGTTGGTGGCACCTCCAGCATTGGTCTGGTTCTGTGGGGAAGAGTGCATGTAGTTTCGAGGGTGTGTAATGCCATCTGGTAATTCCTTTGTAGTTACTTTCTTGCATTATTGTGTTCCTGGTGGATTTGTGTATTTGTCTGAAAATTCGTTTCCATTTGTCTCTAGGTATGTCTAAGTTTAATTCTTTTTCCCACGTTGTTGTGTACGCTGGTAATTGCTGTGTGTATGTCATTTGAATTGTCGCGTACATCTCTGAGATTAATTTCTTTTTCAGGTCTTGTTTAGAGCAGTGCTGTTCAAACTCTGTTTGTGTTCTTTTAGTGCTGCGGGCTAGTGGGCCTGAGTTGACAAAGTGTACTATTTGGTGGTATTGGAATTGTTGGATCATCGTCTGGGTTCCTATGATGTCCTGTATTGGTTTAACATTGTGTCCCTCCGTGTCATCTAGTATTTCTCCTAATGTGAGATAGGCCGTTTTCTGGAAGTGTCGCAGTGTTTTTCCGTCTGCCCCTGGTTGGAAGAGAGGATTATGTGAGATTGGGTAAAGTGGGGATGGGTATGGCGAGATTTGTTTGTGTATTCTCAGAGTTGCCCAAGTGCGTAGTGTGGGCGTGATTGTTGGATGGGGTCCTAATATCATGAATGATTGTCCTACTTTGTGCCATGGAATCGTGTATATGGGCACTCTAAAGAAAGTCGTTTCGATTGTTACCCATTGTTTCGTGGTGTGTGGGAGAGACCAGTCGTATATCCTGGTCAAATGTATTGCTTTGTGGTATTTTTCCATATCAGGTAGGCCCAGGCCTCCGACCTATTTCGGTTTGGTAAGGAGCCCATATGATAGCCGTGGAGTTTTGTGTGCCCAGATGAAGGTCGTGAGTGTCCGTCGGATTGTGTTGAACCATGTTTTAGGTATCGATATGGGGAGAACCTGTAGCAAGTATAATATCCTGGGGAGAACATTCATTTTGAGAATGCTCAGCCTACAGAACCATCCGAATTGTGGTTTATTCCATGTAGTGAGGTCTGAGTGTATGCTTTTCATGAGGTCTGGGAAGTTTTTCTCAAAGAGATGGGACGTGTCTTTGGTTATGTGTACTCCCAGGTATTTTATGTTGTGTGGGGCCCATGTACACTGGTATGTTTGTTTTAGTATTGTCTCCATGTTTGTGGGAATGTGTATGGGGAGAATTTCGCATTTACTGAGATTTGCCTTAAAATTGGATATGGCACTGTATGTGTTCATTTCCTCCATAATGTGTTGCAACGTGTTTGGGGGGTTAGAGAGGGTGAAAAGCACGTCACCTGCGAATGCTGCTATTTTGTGTACCTCTTTCCCCACCTTTATTCCCGCTATGTTATTGTTGTCTCTGATTCCCTGTAGGAATGTTTCTAGGATGAGTACAAAGAGGAGGGGGGACAGCGGACATCCCTGTCTGGTGCCGTTTGTGATGCGCACCTTGTCAGATGGTTGCCCGTTAATCCTGATGTTGGCCGTGGGGTTCGAGTAGATAGCGCCAATCCATTTCCTCCAGTTTGACCCAAATCCATAATGTTGTAGTGTATGTGACATCAGTGCCCAGTCTACCCTGTCAAACGCTTTTTCGGCATCAATGGACAGGAGTAGACTGGGTTCCTTTGTGCGTGTGGCCTGGTGTATAAGATTGATAATTTTGGTGGTGTTGTTTTTTGCCTCCCTCCCTGGGATGAAGCCTGATTGATCGGCATGGATTAGCCCTGGCAGTATGGGGCGAAGCCTGTTGGCCAGGATTTTCGTGAATAGCTTAAGATCTGTGTTTATTAGGGAGATTGGTCTGTAACTACCGCATTGGGTTAGGTCTATGCCTGGTTTTGGTAGTAAGGTGATCGTTGCGTTTAATGCCTGGGGGGGGAGGGACTGACCTTGGTGTAGTGAGTTGAAGGATTTGACGAAGTGGGGTATAAGGGTTTCAGCGAATGTTTTGTAATATTTGGTGGTGAGCCCGTCCGGGCCTGGGCTCTTCCCTATTGGGAGATGTTTGATTGCGTGCCTGCATTCCTCCTCTGTGATGGGGAGTTCTAGGGTTAGGTTTAGATTATTTGGTATAGTGGCGTGAATTCTTTTCATGAGATAGGTTTGTATGTCTTGTGCCGAGGGGGGAGTTTGTCGTATGTTGTATAGGGAGTGGTAATAGTCCTGAAATGCTTTCAAAATTGTAGTCATAGAGTGTGAGACGGTCCCCGTGTTGTCTCGTATAGCTGCTATGAATGTGCTTTCCCTCTGTTTCTTTAGTGCAGTGGCCAGTAATCGCCCACTCTTCCCTCCCTGTGCGTAGTGTATGCTCCTAGTTTTAGCTAGGGCGTATTTGGTTTGAATGTTAAGGATGGTGTTGAGTTCTGTCCTTTTCTCTAGTAAGTTTTTATATGTTTGCATGGTGCTAGTGTGTTTGTGTTTGTCTTCCAATTCCCTGATTTCGGTGGTTAAACGTGTTACTTGGTTTTCCCGTTGTTGTTTGTGTCTGGAAGCAATTTGTATAATGGTTCCTCTGACAGCACTTTTATGAGCTTCCCATATGATTGGGTATGAAGTTTCAGGGGTTACATTGGTTTCAAAATAACGGGCAATGCTTTCCTCAATTTGCTGAGGTATGCGTCTGTCATTGAGCAGTGTGTCATTCAGTTTCCATTGTGTCCTGGTTGGATGTAGGTTCGGTACTGTTATTGTCAGTATGAGTGGGGCATGGTCTGACCATGTGATAGGAGCATACTCACAGGATTTGATAAGGTTTAGAAATCTATGCGTGAGAAATAGCATGTCAATCCTGGAATATGTTCCTGAGGAGTGTGAGTAGAAAGAGTAGTTTTTGCAACCTGGATGTGTAGCCCGCCAAGTGTCGTATAGTTGATATTTGTCAAGAGTTTTCTGTATTTGAGTTCTCGCTGAGGCCTAGTATGATTGAGCTTGTGAAGTGGTATCTAGTTTCCCATCTAATGAGACGTTAAGGTCCCCTCCCATGATCAAGAGACCTTCTGTGAATGTTTGTAGTTTGTGTAGTATGTTTTGTATGGTGGCTGCTTGTTTCCTATTTGGGAGATAAATGTTGGCCATGGTAATGGGCGTGTTGCCTATCGATCCTTTAAGAAGGAGGAACCTCCCCCCGTCGTCCGAGTGATGGTCCTTATATGTGAATGGGAGTTGAGGTGACAGGAGTATCGCTACTCCTCTTGATTTTGAGCCTATGTAATTACTGAAGTAGCCTTTGGTGTAAAATCTGGATCTGAGTGTCGGGGCTGCGTCTTTGCGAAAGTGTGTTTCCTGGATAAATATTATATCAGCTTTTTGCCGGTGGTAGTCTGCGAGAGCTAGGTGACGTTTTTCAGGTGTATTAAGGCCTCTGGCATTGTGTGTCATGACAGTGATGGTGGCCATATTCGGTCCGATGTATATGGGCTGGAGCGTTTGGGGATTGTGTAGTTTGACTCCTGGTAGTGTTGTCGTCACTGTGTGCAATGTTTCAATTATACAATAACATGCAGGTACATACAATTCTATACAATGCCTTATCTATATATATATTATTTTTTTTCTTAAAGGTAGAGGGGTGGGGAGAAAAAGGGGGGGAGGGCGTGGGGATAAGTGTGGAGAAAACAAGGGATATGGTAGCAAAACCTAGTCGGTAATCAACAAATCAATAGAAAATTGGTCGTTGTCGTCGGTCGGTCAACTATATACAAGTTATATTGTCGTGTCTGTTTGCTGGGTATCTTAACCTTCTTCGTTCTAAGTCTGATCACCTTAGGGTGACCGTATGAACTGGTGTCTGCCCCTGAGATGTCCCTGAGTCTGCAGTGGGCTATAGTGAGTCGGCACCGTTCTACTTGTGAGGGGGTGGCGAAGCGTGGGTGCACTGCTCAGAGTAAATGTTAGGTGTGGTGAGCGTCTACGGGCTCACGGAAGAAACCATTGGAGATATTGTGGAGGCTTCTTGGAGGTTTGCGTGTTGTAGTCTTATTAGGAGTGTGTTTTTTTTTTTTTTAGGTGGTTGGGTATGGGTCCCGTCCCCTGGTCTGTCACGGACCTGTCTGGCCTAGGTTTGTTGCTTACTGTGTGTGGCTACGCCAGTTATATTCGTCGTCTATGTGTTGCCTCCCGTCGTGTCAGTATGAGGTGGGTAACCCCTCTTGGGGCCTTGCGGTCTAGAGTCAGTACATTTTGCTGTCACTGGCATGATGCCGACAAGACATGAATATATACAACATGAGGTCTGAAATTCGTTCGCATGTTTCTTGACCCAAAGATGTTTGGGTAGAGTTCTGTCAAAGGTTGTGGTTATAGTGAGCGATCAGTTCTGCTTAGAAAGGCTGTTGAATAGGGACAGTCCAGCAGTGCCCGGTTGGGAGACAGTCCAGAGGGGCAGGAAAACGGTGGTTGTTGCGGGCGTTGATCAGTTTTCCAGGGTGTTGCTTCGGTCCGCGTCCTCCCGAGGATGGAGTCCAGTTGGGGTTGGTTTTTGTCGTCTTGCCGGGGACCTCCATCTTGTCCTTTGCTGCGCAGCTGTATAAGTCCGAGCTGGATCCGAGGCGTCCCAATCCATTATAAGCGTCTCTGGTAGGCTGAGCGCTTTGATGAATGGAGCGACATCCTTGTGTGTTGTGATTGAGTATGTGGTTCTGCGTGTGTTTACCCTGAGGGCGAATGGGAACCCCCATCTGTATCGCAAGTTGCGGGCTCGTAGTTGTTCAGTAATTGGTCTTAGGGCCCTCCTTGCCTGTAAGGTGTGCCAGGAAAGGTCTTGGTATATTTGGATTTCATGGCCCTGGAATAGCATAGGGGAAGAAGTTGCCCTCAGTTGTCTCAGGATCTCCTCTTTAAGAGCATAATAATGCATTCGGCATATAACATCTCTTGGAGCCTCCCCTGTCATGGATTTTGGTCTCAGGGACCTGTGGGCTCTATCCATGACCACGGGGGTGTCTGTCTTGCGGTTTAGTAGTAGATTAAATAACGTGGTTAGTGTAGTGTATAGATTTTCCCCTTCCTCCTCAGGGATCCCCCTGATCCGCAGATTGTTTCTTCTCCCCGTGTTGTCTAGATCGTCCAGGGAGCTCTGCATACTGGAGAGATGTCTTTCTTGTGCTTGCACTTTTGCTGATAGGGTAAGTATTTGGGTGTGTTGGGACCCCCTTTCATCCTCTAAGTCTTGTACCCTGTGGCCTACCTGTTGAATTTCAGTACTGAGGCCGTCCATTTTGTGTTGGAAGGTATTCTCGAGTTTCCCCAGCATTTGTGCTAGGTCAGATCTGGATGGCAGGGTTTTCAGAATTTCTTTAATGCCCATATCTATGGAGCAGTGTGAGGTCACTGATGTGGTAGGGCTTGGCGGGTCTAATTCCGCGATCGCGGCCGTCGGCGCCATATTGCCGTCCCCATGCTCTGACACACGGTCAGAGTAATCTTTAAAAAGCCGGGTCACCGTACCTGCTTTTCCGGCTGTTGCTCTGCCGGGTTGTTGGGAAGGGGTTTGGGACTTCTTGTGGTTCCCCATGATTTGTGTATTCCTCCGGTTTATGTCTGTTTCTCCGTGTTAGCCCAGGAGCACAGTTACTGTGCGGCCATTCAGGTCGGCAGTCGGCCACGCCCCCCTTTTATGAGATTTCTGCTCTCAGAAATCATGTCCTGCAGCCATGCTTTCTTTTTCTTGACCTCCCTATGTCACTTATTTACACAATTGCTTCCGAGTTTTTTGACTCTGTATGACTTTGTATTGACAAATTTTTTTGTCAGTAGAAGTGCAATTGTTGTTTGCTTTATTAATTGGTATACTTTATAATTTCCCTATTTACCTATCATCCGTTTGTACAAAACTCTATTTCCAAAGAATAAAGATTGTCAAAAAAAAGAACATGGGAGCTTTTCCTGTTATGTGGTTTGTTTGTTTTTTGACTGGATCACATTGTCCAATAGATGGTGGTAAAGCCTGCTCAGATATTATCAGACGTTTTACTGGCAGTGTGTTTGAAGTCACAACTCTGTTATCAGTTTGGGTATGAGTGATAAGATACCTCCAGCTGGCATCCTAGCAACCTTTTCTTGCATTTGTTACTAATCATACAGTTATCCCGTGATCATCACCTGCCTAGCTTTAGTTCAATGGACTGGCATATTCACAACAGCTGCCAAATATAACATGAGCCACTCCATTAATCCTTCCACAATCTCCCAGCACTGTGAAAGTTAAACAGGTTGCCTGTTTGTACTGTCTTTTCAGAGCTTAACTAATAATCTTATTGAAAATGCAAGAACTGAACCTTTAATCATGGGCATTGTTTACTATTATGGATACTCTTAAGGGTCAAACTGAAACCAAAACCAATCCAAATTTTCACTGGGCAGTCCTGCCCTCTTCTTCCCTCCACTTTTCACTTGTGATCTAGTGAGGCTGCTGGAGTAGCCGCATTTTACTTAATTCCCTCCAGGATGGCTGCGATATGTGGTAGTTACAGGAGTCGTGATGCTTCCTGCAGAGGCCTCTGATAATCATTTTCCAATGCACAGTATTAAATCTCGTGATGTGCCCTCTGCCATGGAAGCTGAGATCACGATAGAGGAGATTAGAGAAGCCCTCAAGGAATCCAAGACAGGGAGGACCCCCGGTCCATACAGGTTCACTTAAATATTATAAAGTCTTTGCCAACGTTCTGCTGTCACATATGCAATCCTCTTTAAACTCCCTCAACGAGGAGGGGAGATTGGGGCCTGAGTCGCTGGTGGCACATACCACAGTGCTTCCCAAGGAGGGAAAGGAACTGGAAATTTGTTCAAGCTACACACCCATATCCTTATTTGTGTTGTCAAACTGCTGGCTAAAGTCCGAGCCAGCAGATTAAAGTCAATTTTGACATCTTTAATCCACTGCAATCAAACCAGCTTCATCCTGGGACGAAAAGCTAAAGATAACACTATCCGACAGCTGAATCTTGTTCATCAGGCGCAGTCTTCGGGAAAGCAGTTGATGATCATTTCTACAGATGCCAAGAAGGCCTTTTATTGGGTGGACTGGCAATTAATGTTCCTGACGATTCGGGAGATTGGCTTTGTATGAATTCTGCATGTGGGTTCAAGTGCTGAATGCAACCCTAACAGCTAGAGTTCGCATCAATGGAGGTTTATCTGATTCCATAAAAATATTGAACA